CCCTGTGGGACAGCGGGGGCAGCCGGGGCCTCTCGTGAACCTTCGGGTGATACCTACCATCAAGCTCTACGGCATCGAGTCAACCGATGCCTGCAGGGACGGCCTCCAAGACCTGCAGGCAAGAACGGAAGATTGGGCACAGAAAGCGTGCGAAAGAAAGGCATCGGCGTTGTCTCACCTCGATTGTGCTCTGGTTTCAGAAGTGTTTGGTGCATCGAGGCTGCTCGAAGGCCTTCGACTTTCTGCGCATAGAGGTGCATCGCAGCGACTGCCTTGACCTGCTGCTCAGCAACTTCGCGACATTCAAGGCCCTGGCCTCGCTCATCGACACGACCTGCTCGCCATCGGCCAAGGTCGACTGCAGCATCATCTCCCCTGACGGCGTGTTGCGAGACATCTCTCTCCCCCATCTGCTGGCCTACACACATTTCGACTTTACCAACCTGCCCAGCTGCAGCCTCCCACTCGTCAATGCCTTGTTGAGTGCGTACAAGGTGCGCCTCGACAGCTCACACAGCCACATCGACTGCCCGAAATTCGAGACCAGTGGCCCAGGACTGAGTCGCCCATGCCACTACGTCTGGAGGGTGACACAAGACCAGCTACAGGGAGCAATCAGCGACATCGGCAGGGAGAGGATGAGTGCGCGCTCGTCTTCGAGTCCGGGTGGTGGGGTGCGGCCGGCAGTATTTCCATCGACTGTGCGGAGGGTTTCGCCCCTGCCGCTGATGCCGTCCCACCAGAGCCAGCCTCCCGAGCTCAAAGCCCTCAACAGGGTCGGAGTCGAGCGGGTGAGGACTCTGATCGTCAACCATCGCATCGGCCTGGGGGTGGCCAAGACGATCCTGAGCGAGGGAGCGCATCTCACCGAGCTGCAGCTGACCGGCATGGGGCCGACGGATGTGCTGGGACTTCTGGTGCGCGTTTCCGTATGGAAGATGCCGCGGCATCTCGTGCTCAATTCCTTGCAGCCAAGGGCCCCTCACCCTCATGTGCCGCCCGGCCTCAGTCAGCGGCTGCAGAAGGTCAAGATGCTCACGGCCAAGGGAGACGTCGCCCTGCGGTTCGCGACCGCCCTGACGCAGCATATGCATTCATCGCTGGACACCCTCGCCATGTCCGGCGGAGAGACAGAGATGCGTCAGGTGCTCGTCAACGGGGGCTGTGCTGCGATCGACGAGCTGTATCTGGGCTATGTGTCTGAGGGCCGGTACGAGTTCATCAAGGCCGAGGACGAGAGGGAGGGCATCACACTGGGCGATCACAAGGACCAAATGCCCCACATCAAGAAGCTGGTCATGCACCTAGACGGTAAGTGTCGAACAGATGGGAAGAATATTCCACCACTTGATGTATCTGTGTGTGTCGTGTCTCACCGATTTCAGTGCCATCGGCCGATGTTGTCGACTCAGGCGCCTTCATTCTGTCGAGCATCTGGTCGGTTCTCGAGATTGAGTCCATCTCACAGCTGACGGTCGTCCTGAACCACCGCTTCCAGCTGGATGAGCTCAAGGGAGCCGTGCTTCGGCGATTCGCGCCCCCGCGGAAGGTCAGCATCATTATACACAGCGGGCCCATCAGGAGTATGGGCACGTGCGTCTCCAACTCACAGCCAATGATATCGCAGTGGTAAGGCCTGGGGGGAGAAATGAGTTAAGATGTGGACGGCGGATGCACCGTCTGTGTGTGGCCTTTCACTCTCTTGATCAGCTGCGCAGAGCGGCGTCTGCCTACTCGTCGACGGCTGACCTCCTCGAGGCACTGATGCGCATAGAACGCCCACATCAGAGGCTCGCAATGATCACCAATCTGGCGGACACCGTAAAGCGGCTGTCGCATTACCTGCCCTCCCTCCCCCCCGATGTCTCAGCTGTGGCACTCGCCAGCGACTTCGCCGGCCGCATGTGTGCCGCCACGCCCATAAGTGTGGTCGACCCCCCGTATGCTCCTCGGCGGCTGAAGGCGTCACTCATGGCGGCGATGGAGAGACACGGCCCGGCGATGGAGCCCACGATGCGGCTGCATGGCGATGGGCCGTGCATCCCCAGTCCCTCTGTGATCGCCTCCGCCAGTCAGCTGATGGCCGTACTGCAGAAGACAGGCAAAAAGATCACACGCATCGAACTACTCTACAAGTAAGAGGAGACACTCAATATGTGCTGCACACTCTATCATTTTCTTGGCTCTTCTCTCCTTGTGTGGCTGCAGAGGGACAGTCCACGGCTTCAAGTACACCGACATGCTCCATCGTGTGGGCGATGCGAGCCCCCTGCTGTTCCTCATCCGCGCAAATGGAGACATCCACGGCTTCTCCATCGACACCAGCCTGCAGCCACCTCCTGAGCGGCGCCTACCGCCAGGCAGTCGCGCCGGCCACCGCACCTTCAACCGCTATGAGGCGGCTGCCCTCATCTTCAAGGCATTTGGCGCCTCCCCGCCCACCTTCCAGCCGCACTCCCTGATGCCCCAGTGCATCTATGTCTCGCAAGCGGACGATCGACCAAGGGACTCGGCGGGGGGGCTGATGGTGGGCCAGTTGGGGAGTTTCTCCAGCCTGAGCACGCACCAGTGGCTGGAGCTGTGGACGCCGCCCCCTTTTGGGTCGGTGCAGGCGGCGGGGCGATGCTGCGGGCGGCGACCTCCTTTCGGCATCTTTCCGGTGATGGGATATCAGATGCACATGTTCGTCTCTGACGAGGTGGAGGTGTTCACACTCCTGCAGTGAGGTGAGCGAGTAGTGAGATGGACGGGTGTGGGGGGGAGGGGGCGGGATGAGGGAAGGGACGTACGGCACTTTTGCGTTTGTCGCCGATCTGTTTGAAGAGACCGATCTTCTAGACGGCAGAGTGTTGAGAGGCAAAGAATGATTGCATTCCAACGTTTTCAATGCTCAACTGGATGTCTTCACACATGAATACAACCAGCCCGTCCGTGTCGAGAGACATCCAGTTAACACACACACACACACACACGGACAATGAATGTCCCTACTACAAACACTAAGGAAAACCACCCCTTTCACATAACAGGCGGCTGCACACGAGCGAGTACATCTCAATTAGCGAAACAAAGGGCGGTGTGCCTATGCCCCTTGGCTGCGGCTGTCGATGGAGCAGCATGAAGTGCCTTCTGTGACGTGTCAGCTCCCCGCACGCACACTACTCGATCGACACAGCTGCAATCCCCTCACAGATACACACCCAATGGGCACCCAATCTAAGTGTACAATGCATAAATTAGATGAACGGCGGCAGATGTGCTGTCTGTTGGGGCGCCAGCCGCCCTGCCATATAACGGATAGACAGCGGTGCATAGGGCACGTGACGCATACATACGACACGTGCGCATCGCTGCCTACATTTTATATGCAGGGACAGCCAGCCAGCCGCCACAGCCAACGGACACACAAACAGGCAAAGGCACATTGACGAAGGCACACTAGTGAAAAACACCCAGTGGACTGTTTTGGAGAGCGTCCCTGTCGTTACCTTCCGCTAGATTGGGAAATGTCATCCATCTGAGTGCCACCGTGACCCGTGCAGTGGCCCCACCGGCACTGCAGAAGACGCACACCAACCCAACGCAGCGCAAGGCAAACGCGACGGATGATAGACACGAACAGTACTCGGACACAACACAGAGGGGCAGCGCCAAGCCGCTGCGCAAAAAAACATCACACGCACACACCACGCCCCCGACTCCTCCTGCTGCACTGGGGCTGCCGCAGAGGACATCATGGCGTCGTTCTTGTTGCCGTTGGCGGTGTGCAGGGGAGGATGAAGAGCAGCAGTCGTCTCACACGGGCCACCGACTGCATCAGACACACCTGAGCGAGACAAACACATACAGCGGTTGAAGAAGATGTGTGCACACTTGGTTGGTTCCGCTCCATGCGTACCGGTCCCTCCTGTCGTCACTCGCAGGACCACACCACACGCGCAGGAAGGCAGCTCCATGCGCACGGCTGCAACCACCCTCAGCGACTCACTCACGTGTGATCGTACAGAAGCGGCGTCGTCACGCTGCCTTCCCTCTTTTGCCGTCCCTCATGGCCCCTCGCCGCTCTGACGAAATGGCCGCCCGACACAGTGCAGGAATCGCTCGTTGAGCTCGCCGAGGAAGATGACCGTAACGGTGAAGATGTAGCCTGCCCAGCTATGCCGTCCGGCACCGGCGAGAAACGCCGACGTAATGAGTGTAGCCCCGAACGCACAGCAGAGAGAACGTCGGACCAGGTAATCTCATCGCGCTGAAGGGCAAACAGTCAGTGGCATCGATCAAGAGGAAGACAAGAACGCACACATCAATGACCAGCAATGTCGCCCACCGTCTTGCTTCATGGTGTCTGACCGTGGCTGCCACTGTGATGACAATTGGCTCCTCCCCTTCCCGTCCGTGGCCTGGAAAGCTGTCAGCAGTCACATGGTCCAGGAAATCGGGATGGTCGCGGATGCGCATCGCCATGAACCCCACATCATTCAAAAGCGGTGCGCACGCGGCACGGATGAGTTCTTTCAGCTCCGATGAGTCGATGCCGCTCGTGAAGCTCAAATACTCGTCGGCGACGTCCTGGACAGCGCCATCATTGGCCACAAGCTGCACGAGGAACCTGCGTTCTATCTGAAACGGTCCACCAACCAGCATCAACACACACACAGAGGAAGAAGAGTGGATGATGCGCATGATGCCATTGGCTGCGTCAGGTGCTGATGCTTCGAGCCGCGTGCCTGTTCGCTCATTATTCTCAGAGGATCTGGAGGAGCGAGTGACGTCTCCGGAATCTTCCCTCATCGCGCAAACCCTGCATCCTAAACCCTTTCTAAGGAGCGTCTGTCTTGGCCGTAAATGATGAGGTGAATTCGCCATGCAAAAAAGTAAGAAACAAAATGCAGTGTCTTTCACGTGCATACCAAAGAAACGCTGCGCATGCCCTCACATCACACAGTGTCGGTCACTGTTCATTCACCCCTGGTGCCATTCACTCCCTCCCCAGACAGACCATTCGTCCGCATCGCATCAGTCATCTCCCCATCCTGCCCCCTCTTGCTTGGCAGCTCAGCCGCGCCGCCTTCCGCCACGGCCGCACTGCTGTTGCCCGACCTGAAGCGATTTGACGCCCCGATGAAATCGATCAGCCGCGGGCACTCTGCTGGGGCGTCATTCAAGTTGCTGCTGTCATTGACGTGCTGTGCAGGGGATGAGGGGGGCTGGGGGTTGGCAGATGGCGGGGCGGGGGATGGGCTGCGCCTGGTGGTCTTGTGTGGGTTGGCGGCGCTCGTCTGGTTGTTGGCGATGGTGATGACAGTCTGGTGGAGGCTCCTGAGCTCCTTGACTGCGTCCTTCAGAGTCACGCGCGCGCCCACCCTGACATACAAACACCCAACCACACGCAGAATGCAAAAGCGCCGAAGAATGCACCAGGATGCATGTGTGTTCTCACTTGGTGGGGTCCTCCGCCACTTGACTCAGCGCATCCATGAGGTCCTGCATTCTGCTCGCCACACCGTACAGAGCCAGCGGCTGGTCGTCGACCTTCCCTCTCTCAACAGGCGTCGCCGCCGCTGTCGACTGTGCATCGTTTTGCACTGTGGGCTTCGACCGAGCGGCGGGCTGCTGCTGCTGCTGCTGCTGTTGTGACACTGCGTCGGTGAATGGCTTTGCGGGGGGAGAGGGGGAGAGAGGCTGGAACGTGTATCTACGCTGGTGTGTCTGCCTACCTGCCTGCCTGTCTGTCTGTCTGTCTGTCTGTCTGTGTGAGTGTCGCGCTGCGTCCCATTTCATCGGCATCGCTCGCCACTCAATTCAGAGCGGATGGAGTGGATGTGGATAGTATGTGAGAGGCCCCTCCTGACTGACTCATCTGCCTGGGCGTGTGCGCGGCTGACTGATCGCATTCATGTCTTGCAACGTGAGTGCATGTCTATCCATTAATTTGATTCGATGATTCGATTGATTCATTGACTCACAATGGGGATGTGTGGCCTACTTCCCTCCTGATTCACGCGCGAAAAACAATCCGATAGATACAAGGCAACAACATCACAGTGGTCAGGCCAGCGGCCGGCCCCCTTCTTCGCATGGGCAGATGCATATGCATCACGACCAGATCAGCCGGCCGCCCCGTTCACTACGCCCGCCTGCAGGCGCAGCACCTCTATCTCATCGACAAGCATCGATACCACGTCCACCCCCCTTTCGCCCATGAGTAAGACACGGCATCGCTCCGACGCCGCTGAATCAGACGCCCACAGCCCCAGCCCCTCTCGCATGTAGGTGCTCACAATCATTGGCGTCGGGTGGACCACCAGCTTGACCACTGAGTCGCTGCCTGCTCGTGAGACAGTCACATACTGCGACACAAGGGACTGTGACTTGAAGGTGGGCTGGGAGGGGCCGGACATCTTGAAGACGAGCACGGCCGCCGAGTACTGGTTGGAGCGAGGTTGGGGTGCAAGCTGAGGAGGCAGTACCAGGCTGGAGTCGATGAAGAAGCCATGAATCGAGGCCCTCCCCCGCATGAGGAAGAGCAGGCAGCTCGCATCGCCCACACGATTGAGCATGTCGGTGTACTTGAAGCCGTGCACAGTGGCTCTGCATTCAGCCACACACAGAGACCACACGAGAACAATTTCACCTGCAGACCTTGATAGGTGCGCATTTCGTGTCTCTTACTTGTAGAGCAGCTCGATCCGTGTGATGTCTTTGCCTGTCTTCTGCAGTACGGCCATCAGCTGACTGGCGGATGCGATCACAGAGGGACTGGGGATGCACGGCCCATCGCCATGCAGCCGCATCATGGGCTCCATCACCAGGCCGTGTCTCTCCATCGCCGCCATGAGTGGTGCCTTCAGCCGCCGAGGAGCATACGGGGGGTCGACCACACTCATGGGCGAGGCGGCACACATGCGGCCGGCGAAGTCGCTGGCGAGCGCCTCGGCTGCGATGTTGGCATCGTGTGAGGGAAGGTACCCATGAAGTACTGAAGAGAGGCGCTTCACGGTGTCCGCCAGATTGGTGATCATTGTCAGGCTTTGCTGGGTGTCTCTCTGGAATCCGATGTCGGCCCTCAACGAGCGGGCAAACGCCGCCTTGTTCAGCTGAAGTCACAGAAAACATGCCTTGTCAGCTGGGTGTCTTCCGAGCTAATGAGATGCTCTTGTCACCTTCTTGATGTCTTCAAATGAAAGGATCAGGCCGTTTGTGGTGACGAGGCCCCTCTCCTGTCGATCAGCCCCAAACCGCGGACTCAGAGCTGCCTTGAGCTCATCCAGATGGGAGTGTTGGGGCAGGACGACTGTCAGCTGTGAGATGGACTCAATCTCGAGGACCGACCAGATGCTCGACAGAATGAAGGCGCCCGGATCGACAAGATCGGCAGATGGCACTGAACAAGGGAGGCAGGGAGACACGGAGACATCAAGTGGTGGATTGTTGGTCTTGACATCTTGGTCACTTACCGTCTAGGTACATGACTAGGCTGTTGATGTGGGGCATCTGGTCCCTCCAATCACCCAGTGTGATGCCCTCCGTCTCGTCCTCGGCCTTGATGAACTCGCAGCGGCTCTCAACCCAGAATCAGTCTGTTGACATCACCGCGGCATCCATTGACGAGCACCTGACGTATCTCTGTCTCGCTGGCGCCCTTGATGTGGAATGTCTTGACCTTCTTAAGTCTCTGCTTAACAGTCAACACGCTCAGCTGTTGTCCACCTTCCTGATGTGAGTACTCCAGAGTCAGCTTTTCGGGTATTCTATCCTCATGCACGCACGACAAAAGGTCCAGTGCGTCCGACGCGCTCATTCCCATAAGCTCCAGGCTCTCCAGGCGCAAACACTTGTTCAGCATCATTTTTGCTGCTCCCAGGCCCAATCGGTGCTCGACGACCAGAGTCTTCACAGCGTCGAGTCCAATTGAGCTGAATGCCTCAAGTTCGGGAGGCTCCGGTGGGATGGCGCCAGTAGGTGGTCGCCATCCCCCCGCACAGGCGATGGATATGCTGCAGCTCGTACGTGTGGGCCCGCAGCCTCCAAACAAGAGCTTATCGTCCATGCTAAGGTCAATGGGCCCGTTTTGTGGCCGGTCCACCTGGTCTTGCGCAATCGTCCACACGTAGTGGTATGCGGCGGGGGGGGCTCCCTCGATGAATTGGGGAGAATCGAGAGGTCCCCCAGTGACGTCGTGACGCCTCGTTCGCAAATTGTAGCACTTGAGCAAGGCATTGAGGATTATCGAACTGCAGTTCGGCACTTTTCCGAACCTCGTGTGGGCCACCATGTGGGTCAACGGAATGTCTCGGACCTCCTGACCAGAGGAGCGAAACCAGAAGGTAACCTTGCCCGACGGCGAGCAGGTCGTGTCGATAAGCGAGGCGAGGGCCTTGAACGTCGCGTAGTCGTTGAGGAGAAGCGAGTGGCAGTCACTGCGATCCACGATGAAACACAAGTCATCGAGAGACTTGAAGCAGCCGCGATCCACCAAACACTTCTGAAACCAGAATCCACAATCCACTGTCGCCCGCCTTTTTGTGCCCCTTCCTGCTCTGTCTCTTGCATGCAGTGCCTGAAGGCCGTCTCTGCAAGCATCCGTCGGTAGGATCTCGTAAAGTTTGATGCCAGAAATCTTTCGAAGGTTCGCGAGAGGTCCCGGACTCCCCCGCTGCCCCAATGGGATATAATCCAGTAGTTCAGCCATCTCGGGTGGCGGCATGGAGGGCACAGTCAGGTCGGTAAGAGAATTCGTCGTCTTGATGAATGTCTTGATGGGCGCGATCATGGAGGCAGATGATAACAATCGCTTGAGGTCTGGTGTCGTCCACCCTCGTCCATCGATCAGGAAGTGGGCCTGGGTGACGCCGTTGACCTCAGTGAGGGCTGGGAGGTTGATGGGGTGGGATGGGGCGGCAGAAGGAGGGGCAGACTTGATGGTGCCGAGCTGCACTGCCTCGTGTCGTCCCAAATTCGGAATTGCCACAGGCTCGAAGATCAGAGATCTGAGTGAGCCGGCCGCCAGGGCGGTCGCCGGCCCTTCCTTCTCACGGGCCAATCGCCGCCCCACCACATGGCCTTCAACGAACCCGATGACAATCCCGAGGCACCATCCAAATGCACTGACATGGCAGCCGGCCGTCACCCCTGGTGCTCCGTCAGGTGTGCGTGGGTAGCGATGGATGAGACACTTGAGATTAATCATCTGTTTGCCGAGCTCATATGCCGTCTGCGGTGTCATCCGCTGCCAGAATGTTCTCTGTCGAGTGATGCTGCAGTCAATGACGAGCTCGCTGTGGTGCTGAACGACGGCCCGACTCAGTGGGGAAGGAAGGGGCGGCTTCAGGCACCAGACGGGATTGACAAACTCGTACACGCCAATGTGAAGCTCTCGAGGCTGCACACACACAGATGGCAAACAAGGGGAACAAGGCTGTGTACGGCGAGGCTGCCTCCGTTGGCTTACCAGGGCAATCCCCGACCACCCTTGCGTCCGAATGGCCTGCCATTTACCAGAAAAGAGACGCACATCAGCAAATTGAATCTTCATCGGTCACCTTGCGCACGGCAGCGGTGGCCTCGCTCTCAGTCGTACTGCCGCCATCACGCTTGGAAGATGACGATGCCCACGGAACGGGGGCGCGTTGCTGGGCTTTGGGCAGCAGAGAACCGCTCTTCATGTTCATGAACGTGGGGGACCTTCAAGACTGGGGGCTCGTCGGTGATGAGACGCTCCCGTCTCTGAACTTTAAGTTGAAGAGGGCTTAGAAGAGGGCAAGGCAGGTACGCCGGCCAATGGCGCAGTTACCGATGGAGAAGGCGAAAAAACCTCCGTTGTGGCCAGCAAGCGTCGGCGCCAGAAGTCCAAAGACCAGATCGCGACGGATCGAGCGAGGGATCATGTGCATGTATTTGAATGGGGTAAGTTGAATGGACGCATGAATGAATGGGTGACATGGCGATCTGGATGAGGACACCAGGTGTTTGTCATCCGCTGTTGCACTCATGACATAGAGGTTGTCTCGATCAACGACATCGTCATGCACAGAACGGGCGATAAGATGAATACGCGAAATGCAAGAGAGGACTTGTTTGCGTGCAGACGCGTGACGCTTGGAGGAATGAGGAGACAAGTGGCGAAACCTCAAGCGAAAGACAGAATCTGACGTGGACATCAAGCGGTCAGTCACACTTTCATGCATCAGCACCATTGATGGCTTGAAGACTCCAGCTGCTCACAGCTGCAGACCTGCACACACGACACGACACCAGCGGCACCCCAGCAACACCAGCAGCACAGATATGCATCCATAGATCCACCGTGCATGCCCTTCTTCATATTCACCTGTGCCTTCTATCTGCGCTGAATGTAATCCCCACATCGACTGGTACCCTGTCCTCCCTCGAGGGAGCCAGAGGGGCGATGAAGGAACCGACACGCCTGGTCGATCCGCCAATGGGTGTCTCTCCCAGTATGGCCCACCTGCCTTCACCCCTGGGCCGATACTTGGCGTGGATTGTTGAGCCGAAACGTGATAGCGACACTTCCGTGTACTCAAACAAGTCGACGTAGGACCAGCTGATTCTCTCCTTGTTGTCAGTGAAGACCAGGCTCCGCTGGTCGGCTGCCGTATTGCAAATCTCCAAAGTAACAGAACCTGAGGAACCGACACACACCGAAGAGACACGAAGTGTACGTGCAGGAGAGACATGGCTGCAACTATGTGTACGGACCTGCTGCCAGACCCACGCATGCTCCCTGGTCGGCCTCACTCTTCACGACCAGCCGCAACGATGCCTCAGCCACAAAATCTCTGTCGATTTGAGGGGCACCCAGCAGGAGCTGCGAACGATTGATTGGTTGGATGGCCTCCAAGATGAGCGGGTCTTGAGGCGACAAGTGCCAGGATGGTAAGTTGACGGCCGAGAAGGACACGGGGGGGACAGTTACACGCACCAGGGAGCTGTTGCCACTCACCTGCAGAGAGAATGTATGCATGTCAGGGTGGCCGACGTGTGTCGTGCTGCGTACAAATTGCATGTGGAGCTGGTTCAAGCTGTCGGCAACAGAGTCGTGGACGATGGCTGTTTTGGTGTCGATAAGCGATGCTGCGGCGGTGGGGTTGCCGGATCCATCGATCACGGTGAAAAGCTCAACAACAGCATCCCAGTGAGAAGCCATCCTGACCAATAGCAAGGCAAGTCTTGCAAACGACAGGCTGCCGTGATCCTCTTGCCTTAGCTCGACAAATGGCGCTGTGTCTCTGTCGCATCGAGCTGAAGTCTTAATGGCCACGTCAACCAACCCCTGGTGGCTGAAGCTGACGATTGGGCTCAATACGTAGTCACGATTCGAACACACCTGAAGGACACCTAGCCACGTGGATGAAGCAGAAACGCAAGCTCTGGCTGTACCCCGCATGTCTTTGCGCAGTATTTGTGCATAAACTCCCGGTAGTCCTCTTTCTCGTGAGTGCAAAGATTCCACTCGCCGTATTCGGCACACTTCTCGACACCCAAGGAATCCTCACAGCTCGACTCGCGAAAGAGACCATCAGCGCCGCATCCTGAGTGTCAGGACGTACCGTCATCATCAAACTTGACTGCATCTCTCTTCATGCCTACCGGCGATCGCCAGCTGTGTCTCCACGCCGTTCTCAACGATGACCCTCAGCTGATGGCTGCCTGCAGCAGGTGCCGCGAAAGACCCCTGCAACAGGCAGAAGACAAACGAAGACGAATGTGCCAAACGACCCTCATTCATGGATTACCGCAAGGTCCATCCTGCATGGCCCCTTGCGGTCGTTGAGCTTGTCTTTGAAAAGAGAGATGCCTCTGACGGGAAAAGTCCATTGATCTTCTGCCATGACATGCCGCCTCTGTTTTTCTTGTCATCCAATGGCTCTTCCGTGTACTACGAAGAGGGTAATCGACAACTGAGACATATATGACACATTTTCATTGTCGTCTCCGCTCACTTGCGAGATCGCGCTTGTTGAGAATTTGACAACAGAGGTGAGCGGAAAGCCACCATCCTCTCCGTCGAGAGACCTAATCGCTCTCACGCCTTCGCCAGGGACGAAGAGTCCGTACGATCGCCGTCTGTCAAGAGGGACGGCATACGGCTGCCCTTCGTGACACGTCCGCCATTCGATGCCGCCTGCACCTCCACCATATTCGATGCGCCAGGACTTGGGATCGCTTGATGTTTGTCTTCCACCTGAGATGAACGATGCTATTCACCTTTGGTCCGTTTGTTGCCGTCTGCTGACCTGTCCAGAGTGTATATCCCGTCACATTGACCGCTCCATCAAATGTCACCTCAATGACAACATCCCTGAAATCCCTCGTCGCCCAATCCGTGTCCACACGGCGATCGAACAGCACATCAGGGCCAGACACGCTGCCTGTTGGGTTGTCTGGCGTTGCCACTACCGTCGTCTCTTGCCCGATTGCGACCACCTTGGCTGGCTTTGGTATTGAATATGTGTCGAAGCTGAAGGCATGGTCGCCTTTTGCTTGCCACCGGGTGAAGAAGGTCAACTCTGAGAGTGAGGCCTTTTCGCCCTCCCGCACACCGTCGATGCTGAAGCGAAAGCGAGAAGACGAGCACCAGCCCTGAGACAAGAAAAGGGCGATAATACAGGCCGCAATTCACCTCGCTGCGCGCGTGTGTCTCACACCTTGCCGCTGCCATATGCCGGTGTCTCTGAATGGTAGCTGCGTTGCTGCATGTGGCCGATGAGAGGCGGCTCTCTTCCCGAGTTGTGCTCCATAATAGCTGGATCGGCCGAGAGCGGAAGGTACGAAGGACTGGAAGATTGAGAGAGGGACCTCCCCGATGCGTTGGTTTTGGTGGCCGTCTGGACGACATCGAAGCCTTCGCTGTGAGAGCCTGAAGGAACAGATTCGGCAGAGATTAAGACAAACCATCGCATCTCCGTCTGCTTTCCTCGATACATTTGTTTATCTGGTGTGTGTGGCAGGTTCGCTGATCGACATCCACTTGGCAGCACACGTCACAGGTCTTGGTCGCCTCGTCGCAACCGCATGCCCTTTTGCAGCTCAAGCCGTCCTTGACAAGGTCCCACGAGTGGATGGAATACCCCTGAAGAAACAAATAAGACAGGCTGTGTACTGGATGGAGTCAATTCTTTGTAGACCTCTGTGCAAGGTTGGCATCCCCGTGTTATTGTAATGTCATATGTGTCGCACTGATCCATCCCACCGTTGACAAGCGTGATGGTGGTCGGGTTGAGACCCTCGCGCATGTACGCGCTCCCCACACCGATGTCAGCAAGAGTTCGATAGCCCTGCGTGCACAGAAAGCCTTTCATCTGTTATGTACATCACACTCTCTCACGCACCTCCATGGTGATGACTTCCTTGCCGTTGATTTCGATGTCTCCAAATCCCTTTTGCAGTGAGTATCGCAGTGCGTAGAGGCCATCGTGGGGCACCCTAATATGGCCGGACATGATAAGTGCGTGGTAGTCGCCCAACGACTGACGCGTGCGCTCCTCGCATGACACACTCACAGACGGAGACCTGAGAACATGAGCATATCAATACAAATGGACGAGTGGAGTCAAGACTTTCTGGTGCACCAGAAAGTCTTGACGTGGGCTCCTCCCTCGCGGATGTCTCTCGCCTTGCCAGATGCGCCATAGTACCCATACACCTCCACATCCAGCCCTTCACAGACGCCTGCACCCCTGCACTCCCTCTCCTCTGTCCGATTCGCACCGCACACACTGTCCAACACGTCTTTCGGGGATGATCTCGTCACGCCTGAAGGCAGCTCTCTTACGGGCCTTGTGCGTGTCTGTTTGCCCGGCTGGCAGGGAGATCTCGCTGAACAAGATGACCACTCCGTCCATTCGTCAAGCCTACACTCGCCCTGCGACAGCAGACCAACAAATGCGGGTGAGACACGTATGAGCAGGCAACAAAGATTGCCTCACTTTGATTTTGGAGACGTCCGCGATCGTGTACGCGGCGAATCTCTCGATGTCCACGCCGTCCGACCCGCCTCTCACGATCCGCCAGTACCCGCAGCCCATGTCATCACCACCGACGCTATCGACGGTGGTGTTTTGAAATGATCGATGGCCTCACCGCCTCTGGATGAATGCTCTTTTGCAGAAGTCACCTTGACACGCCTGGGTCTCTGAGGAACGAGTCCATGTCATCAGGAGTGCATGTTTGTCAGTGTGTGTGTCCATTGCCTTCTTACTACATGGTCTGAAATCCCGTGTTTCGCCCCAGGCATCCCCATAGCTGTTCTCTGCGATCCAGTATTTTGTGTCCGTGGGATCGACACCCCAACCTGAGAAAAGTACGCTTACTGGGCATGAGATGCTCTCTCCGGCGTACCTATGAGTTGAACGGCGTGACCACCAAGCGATTCGCTGCCGTACGTGTGGGAATAGATCCCTGATGTGTAGTCAAAGAAGTCTTTGTAAACAGACGCCATTGAGGCGAACACGGAACCATACCTATAGAGGGAAACCGAATGCCAGTGGCAATCTGTTGCGGCTTGGCGCCTTGATCCTTACGCATATATGGCTGCCTTGATGGCTTCCTCCCCATGGACGAAATACACAGCATCCGTAGCAAATACCTCCCTGCAGCACACGACAGCAGACAGACACACTCTCCCGTTCTCCCGTCCGTTTCCCCCCTGTCTGTGTCCACCATCCATCCATGCCCACTTGAATGTGTCAAGGTAGTCAGCGATTTCGTCCTTGTCGTGCTCATATCCATAGTGCGTCAGGAAGTACAGACGTATCAGCAGTACCCACTCCGGGTCATCGCGAGCGTAGCGGTTGGTGTACCGCTGCCCACAGGATGAGTCGATGCCGACACAAAAGTCATCGCCGACCGGGGAGCCTTCAACACAAACAGATTAGAAAGGAAATGGCGATGAACATGTGCACTAAAAGTGGGGGCAATACCTGTCGCTGGTGTCCCAGAATGCCCGGCTCTGTATGCCACGCAATCCTTGGTGCCGACTCCCTCCATCTCTATCAAGTCCATGTACGCCTGAAGCGGAGCAGGGCACACAGACGTACGAGGACTTCTACAGTCTTTGCGCCCCCACCCAGTAAACATTGCCGCAGTCGCAGCCATAGTTGTTCGCACTGCAGCGGACAAGCTCTTCACGGCTCAAGTTGGGAGATGCGCGGCCCTCAGACCTACAACCAACGAATTCACTCATCAATGAGAGACACAGAGATACAACTAACTGTACAGCTGGCAATCGTCCATACCTCTTGCATATCTGCTTTTCTAAGGCGCCAAGGGCCGCAAAGGCCCAACAACTGCCGCACTCGCGTTGAGCCCTCACCTTTCTCACACACTGCGGAACCTCCTTGCGAAAATCCCACTCGTCAGGCAAGGGCTTCCCTCCTCTCGACTGCAGCACCTCCCTCACGAGCGCCTCACTGAGGTCGCGCACCTTCCCCCAGTCAAGGTAGGGCACGATTGTCGTATGGGTCGTGTCGCCCGCGTCACGGTTTGTTCGAGAGGCTTGTGATGCAGGCCACTGCGCGAGAAACGAGTCAAATTGACCGTGGGGAAGATTCTTGAGATCCGCATAGAAGTGCCGGGGGTGAGGGAGTGCCCGATGGCTCCTGATCAGACTGTGGTAGCTCTTGTTCTTCTGTTGGAAGGTGAAGAAGGGGTCTAGACTGCTGTCGGAAGGCATCTGAGGGACGGGCGATGCCGTGATGCTGAATGGCGGGCGGCTTGTCATAGTAACATTTGAAGCCACTGTCGTCCCCTCCTCTCCATCGCTCTCCAGCTCCACTCCTTCTTCCTCCTTCACCTCATGGAAGCCCTCAGGCATCGGAAGGTCAGGAATAACCGCGCCAATCTCGCACAGAGGCGGCAGAGTGCGGATCAACCTGAGGTCTTCTGCCTGCTCTTCGCACGACGCATCGATGCCGTGAGCCGACGAAGCAGCAAATAGTCGGATGACCAGCTCATCGGACCACCCACCGAGGGCTGCGAGAGCTCGGAAAGAGATCTGTGGGGCGTCTTGGATTGTCTCAGAACGAACATCCATCACCTGAGAAATTAGAGAAGGGAGAGGCAAATATGCACAGGCACACAATGTTCCCACTCTCTCTTTCACTCCTCACCCTGTAGCCTTGCAGGCGAATCGACGTGAAGAAGGACATAGAGCAATCCTCGCGCATAGTCTGCATCTGTTTCTCAAGTGCTTCCACGGCTGCAGGACAAATGGTAGCAGCCACGTCTTGGGCGTTGTCGCGGGAGCACAGCGGACCATCGGCGCGATCCCCCTGAACATCGAAGAACTCGAGAGATGCTGCCGACTGGCCATTGTCACTGAGCCTGAATGTCGACGAGAAGCCATTCACAAATCTCGCAGTGACCTCGCAGCCGTAGTCCCGTTGCTGCACATCGACATCTTCCTCCAGCTGGCTGATGGGCAAGTCAGCATTGCAGCGTTGAACAAAAGCGGCACTGAGGACCTTGAAGGCAAGCTGACGGCCTTCATTCGGCAGAATGGCTGGACAGAGCGGCGTTGCCGAAGAATCAGACACGATGAGCACGGCCACCAACCACACTGCTTTCATCTCGGTTTCCGAGAAGGGAGGATGCGCTGCTCGGAGGGTACCTTGATCTGGTCAAATTGTAAATCTCTACGTCGCCGTTGGCCGTTAGTCGCTGTCTGGTGGCTTCTTTCTGCGTGTGCTTCTTTCTGCGTGTGGCTCTCCTAATGTTGGTGGTCCTCCTCTTGCTCGTCATTGCAGCCGCATCCACACTGCCAGCGCTCGGTGAGAAGGACGGCCGCCAACGCACAGTTGATGGGGCTCACGCAGTGGCTGATGTCTGATGTTCTGCAGGGGCCAGCTGGAGGGCAGCAGAGGAGATCCTTCTGAGGATTGAGGCTGAGCACCCGCAGGCGCACGCCGTGCCCAGGGAGGTGGAGGATATGAAGGCCAGGGCGCACGCCCCAGGAGCTGTGACGGAACTGGCCTTCCATCAGCCAGAGGATCCCACGATTGATGACCTCATGACGGGGGCTCGGGAGGCTGCAGACTACCTGGGCATCGCAACCGAGGACGCGGACCACGCGGCTGACGGCACAACGGCTGCACAAGAGCATCCCATGGAGGCGGAGAAACAAGCAATCGAACCGAAAAGCGGTGAGTGATGGGTGGGTGGGTGCAGCAGTGGCTCTCCCTTCTGGACGCCTCTTTCTGCCCATTTCAGACGCGGCCTCGGCTGTCATCGACGCTGTCGCCTACGACGAGCATGAACCAGACCACACCATTCCGAAGCCAGAAGCAGCGTATCAACCAGACCTCGGCGCTCAGCTAGAGCAGGTGGGCCCACCGGAGGAGCCCCTGGTAGAGGACATGTTGCCAGATGAGCAACCGAGTGAGCCCGTGCCCGAAGCCCCGGAAGACCCCGAAGACCTCTACGGTGGCATCGCCCACCCACAGGAGGGGCCGCCAGAACGTGAGGAACACAGCACTCGATGGCCATGTCATGATGGTGTCATGTGTCGTGCAGATTGTGATTCCAGAGTGTGGGCCCACCTCGGCTGCAACAGCACACTCACCCTGACACTGACCGTCAGTAAGATGGCCAAGGGCCACGTCACGTCGGAGTGCGGCAGCGGGCAGCAGGGGGCCTTCCAAGGTGACGACTTCAACTACTGGGTGCGGCTCAGTGTACCCGACAAGATGCCGCAGGCGAGGATGGTTCTCGAGTCGAGAACGCCGTCAGGCGTCCATATCTTGCCCTTTGCCGACCACACACCAAGGATCAGCAAGCTGGGGATGAGCAACAGCTGCTCGGGAGCGGGCTGCGAGATGGGCTTCAGATCGAGCGCCTTCCAGCAGGGCAACATGCACATCGATCGAGTCGGCACAGCGGGGAGCTACTACGCATTCGTCGGATGTGAGCAATGAGGACCACCGGGGAAATCACATCCATGGCGTGAGTGACATCGGTATGTTGGCTGCTCGGATTTGTTTGTCTGTGCAGACAACTTCGACTGGACGGTGTACAATGCGACCACCGTGTTCCCGAGCGAGCTGCATTTCTGCTGTTTCGACCCACGATGGGTGCCATACGACAGCCTCACGTCATGCCAGAACATGCTCGTGTGATTTATCGCATGGTGACTGTAAGTGTCCCTCGTGACGTGTGTTTGCCGCTGGTTGGCGGCAGCCTCTCTGCTGTGTTGATGCCTTGTGCTGTGCGTGTGGATAAACGTTACGCTGCCTGCCTGCTGTCTGCATGACTGTCGTACACACATAGATAGTCAGTCGCCCATACGAGTAGCTAGCGAGATGGCCATCCATGTGCAAGTGTGTGTGACATAGGTCGTGTTTGTCGCGATTTGTCCTGTGGATACGATACGTGTGAGTGCGTAGTGTATAGGGGAAACTTTCCATCTGTAAGGCTGCGGATGATGGATGGGATGATGGACTGACTGATCGGAGGGTGGGTGGAAGGGCCAACGAAGTCTATCAGCTGCATATGACGGCTGTGTGTCACCCGCTATATAGTAGGAGGGGCATTGCTGCGTGTCTGCGTGCCTTCGTGTTGTCGGCTGATCGTGTGTGGCCGTGAATGGGGTGCATGGAAGTGTCTTGGATGGTAACTTAATGTGTATGTTGGTAGTAAGTAAACCATTATTTAACCGGCCCACAACTCGCAGCACAAACAAGTGTCCGTCCCCTTCCACCCAGTCAGCACCACAACACACGCACACACGCACGCGGCCACATACATTTGTCAGTACCCGTCCCCATCCGGCCCGTCAGAGTAGAGCAACTCGTCCAGCTGAGTGGACGCCGTGTCGCACACACCAGAAGGCTCCCTATAGTCCTGCACACAACACACATCACACCAGATGTGGAGACACAGGTACCTGCCCGCATCGTCGACTTGTGCGAGTGGGTGCTGACCATGGGGTGCGGTAGGCGCTTCAGGCAGTGGACGGGCGGGGGCGGTGGGGGCATCAGCCGCTGCAAGGGGAGCGGGGGAATCAAAGGCAACTGAAGAGCCAGCCAATCACAACACAGATGGATCTACTTGCGTCTGTTGTCTCTTCCAGATGGATGCTCACGTCGATATGTTCTGAGGTGGTCTCGGAACGTCCCTCCGAGCCGCTAAAGGGGGTCCCGTAGGGCGTCATGGGGGGCGACACACAGTCAGCATACTCACCCGGGCTATCCTCCTCGGCTGGGACGGGACAATCACCCTCGACCTCGACAGGCGCCACCTTCTGATGGTGACGCTGATACAGACGCACAAACACACACACAAAGGATGAATCCAATAAGTGTCGTCTTTGGTGTCTTCTTCTCACCCTGACAGGGCACTTTAGAGCCACCATTGCGCTTCCGGCGAAGAGAATGACGGCCGCCGGCACCACCCCAGCCCACCAGCTACCCTCGACCCTCGGCAGCGATAAAGATTCAATCCCGTCAGCGGCCCACGTGGGGCCGTCTGCCTTGGGTGTGAGCCAGGCTGGGAGGCTCCCGCCCCACATGTGTGCTACGGGCACACAGAGGACGCCCCCCACTGCGATAGGCCACCACCACTTGGCGAGAAAGTGGACACGGCCATTTGACGGCTTGTCCTCCGTGTGCGAGGCACCGATGCCGCCTGCCGGTCTTTTCTCGCCCACTCCCCATTGCCTGCCCATGACGGCTTGGATGGCTCTAGCGCTGTGGTAGAGTGCCAAGGCGACGGCCACCCCCATGGCTGTGTCGGGGTGGAACAGCCACACCATAGACGCCCACACGGCCCTTAGCAGGATGCAGATGACGAACCACAGCCGCAGGCCACCATCATCGTGACAGACGAGAGGGCTGATGAGGTCCTTGGCGAGGGCCGTGAGGACCTCTCCACGGCTGCTGGTGTCGGCAGTGGCCAGAGTGGCGTGGGCGGGGCCGAAGGCGAGAAGGGAGAAGTACAGCAGGTGGTGAGCGGCCATCAGCAGCCACTCAAAAGATGTCTGGCCGAGGAAGAAAGCCGGCACGCCCTGCACATCACAGCCATCACACACATGATCATGATCTCAAAGCCGTGTGATGTGATGCAGGGTGGGTGTTTCTTACTATTACAGAGCTGCGTCCCTGCAGGCATCTTAGCAGGACCGCGATTGCAGCGGCCAAGAGGGACAGCAGCACCACAGCCACCAGCATTAGCAGCACGCACGTCCATGCTGTGCTCCAGAAGGCCAGGGACCATGCTGTGAGCCCTTCTTCATCCTCCGGCAATGCCGCTGGAGCGTCATGGATGTCGCTGCCTGCATTGCCGGTAGAGTTGCCGGCGTCTGATGTATGGTACACCTCTGCTGACCACAGCACGGCTCCTACGCCTTCCAAAAGCCCTGGCAGCATGGGGTTCGATCCTGCCTTTGGCCGGGAATTGTGCGATCCTGGGCAGCTGGCCAGAGAGATCTCGTGGCCTAATCTCGTTTGCGATGGATAAGACGGCATTGAAACTGAAAGAGCAGCTGGAGGAGGCGTGGACAGACCTCTGCTGCGTGCAATACCAGCTGACACAGGTGCGCACGTGACTTGAAAGGTCTTCGTCCTTTTGACGCCTTTCTGCTGGTTTGTTCAGAAGCTGGAGGGCCTGTATGGCAAGGATCTGTGTCCCAGCAAGCTGCTGCAGCGCCTCGATGCCGTGCAGGAACGTACCAAGAACATCCAAGACCAGTACAAGGTGCCTCCACGTGTTGTTTTCCTTTCTCTCTGCCCATCCGTCCATCCGGCGTCTGCCTGTCCACCAATCAGGATGTGTTGGAGCAGCGTTATAGTTTGACCAAGAAGCTCGGCGAGGTGCTGCTGAAGAATGAACAGGACCTACACGACCTCGTCGTAGGCAAAGGAAAAGGGACGAATCGGATATCGATTAAACAGACACACTGCAGGCCATAGTTTCTCATCTGTGTGTACGATGTGCAGGATGGTTTGAAGCTCGGCAGCGTTCCTGGTGTCGACACGACACTAGGCCGTCAGTTCAAAGACACATACAAGTGAGCAGCAAAGAGAGTGAATGATCTTCTCGGGTGCATAGGCATTCCTTTACCTGTTTGTTGCGGTCAGTCGCCACATGAAGGCTTTATCTTCCAGCCTGCCGTCTGGCGGTAGCCCTCTTCCCTCTCCGTCTTCCCCGTTCCACCTGCCTCCCCCGGCTGTGGCACGCGATGATGGGCCCCCGCCGCACAGCACCACCGACGGCTCACCGACTGTAGAAGAGGTGGGCGGAACACGGACGAGTCCACACGTTGCCGAAGTGATGCTGGCGAGATGTGTGTGTGTGTGTGTGTGTGTTTTCAGCTAGTCCCTTGTTTCAATGATGTGTCCATTGCCGATGCCCAGAACGAGACACAAGGTGCGGGCGACACAGGGGCTCTCGCGCACCCTACACGTCCCTGTTCTCCCATGTTATGTCCATTTGTGTGCATCCTTGGTAGAGTATGAGGGCAGGGAGTTTGATGGCGGCTCGGACGAGGGTGCGCGTCTGCGGCCCCCGTTGCGGCAGCAGCGGAAGGAGGCCATGCTCACTGTGGCCAAGGGCGGCCGGCAAGGGATGGCAGGGCGGATGGCGGCCAAGAAGGGGGGAGGGGCCAGTGCACACACACTCGTAGCGGTGTGCACTCCTTGCAAGGGCGAGAACATACATAGCGATGATCAGTCTCTTTCTGTGTGTGGTGCAGGTGACATCTGCTGACTTTGCTGCCGTCCCCAAGCTGACCAAGGTGGGGTGGGGTTGCACGTTTGTTTATGTGGGATGGGTATTCCTGTTTGTCAATGTTTGGTGTGTGCAGGGCAACGCGACACTGGAGGAGGTCAACAAGGCCTACCTCACCATCGGCAAGATCATACAGAAGAGGGGGTGCGCCGCGCCCGCCACAAATACACCACCTGTTTCTCTCCACCTTCCTGAAAGAAAGTATCTGTCTGTGTATGTGTGTGTGTTCAGGAACAGTTTGAAGCCGATATTGCCGGCAGATTTGCAGCGTGAGGGTGTGGATGTGGTGAGCAGGACGGGCAAGGAAAAACTGCTTGTCCTGCGACACTTGAAGCTCATCCAAGTCAACGCACGGTGGGTGGCGCGGCGCCAGTCACACCCACCCCTCACCTCACGCAAAGCACATTCCTCCCTCGTCTGTCGTCGGGGTGTGTGTCCTTTTTCTTACAGGGACGGCTCGATCATGCTAGCCTAGCAGCAAAGCCTTGCTGACCCATCAATTGACTCATGTCATAGGACGGCACGCCACCCGCGATGCATCGCTGCAATACGCCGGGCTGTAGCTGACTGAAGACCTACACAGAGCATACAATTGAGTACCGAACAACACCGACAGTATCTCAGACCCTCAGAACGGCATCACATTGGCCGACGGCGTCACCCATGCTGCAGACACACACACACACACACACAGGAAGGATGCACACATAACATCGTGTCGCCAATTGTCACTCACTGCCTGACCGGGTCTGTAGTATCTCGATGACGTCTGTCGCAGCCACACCAACACACATATCGAACGCAACTCTGCTCGGGGCGACTTCCTGCCTCCCAACTCTGAACCGAACCACCCACCGCCCATGCACACAGACAGACAAGCCAGGAGTGAGTGATTGCGAGAGCAGCCCAGCGCCGTGCTCGCCTCCTTCCTCTGTGCTCACTCACCTTGGTGTATGACTTGCATCTGCTCCGATGCAGCCCGGAGGAAGAAGGCAGCCGACACACAACCTGTCAGTGTTAAGACGGTGGGAGATGGACACACACTCAGATCAATACGATGGACGGACCCGCACATAGCTATGTGTGACAGTTAGTTCTCACCTGTGCCACAGCCGATGCCCAGCTTGAGGGACTGACCTGTATATATCAATCAATGCATCCACAGCAAGAGAAGGGTCATTGCTCCTGCCTCCATCCATCCATCCATCCATCCATCCGATCTTCCCCCTTTGTTGCCCACCTCCAGTGGTGACGAAGCCAATCACACTTCGACACGGCACACTCGACTCAAAGCCACCACACACATCCTCCTCACCTTCACCGCTCACATCAGCCTCGTTGTCGCCAGCACCACCCTTTTTGGCCTCCTCCCGCCTTTTAAGCTTGTCCCTCATTTTGCTCTTCCGGTGCCTGAATGCCGGATGCATTCCCTCCAAGAAAGTCGGCGGTTCATGCCGCGGCACACGGGGCACAGAGGAGCCAATCGGATGACCAAGGGGGGCGGGGGAGGGGGGTGGCCGGCGTGGCGGTCTGGACGGCTTGGGCAGGTCGATCCAGCTCGAGAGGTGGGAAGCGACTGCTGGCGGGCAGAGGGGAGACGATTCGTCGATCCTCTCGCCTTTGATGAATGCCCTGACGTCGTCTGGCGTCATGTGGAAGAGGTGAGAGAGCCGGTCGGCGATGCCTCTGCGGTGCACCATGACCTTGACGGGCAGCAGCACGCTCCCCCACTCGAGCAGGTCGGCATCAGAGGGAGGTGTTGCGGCGTCATTTGCCAGTCGCTTCCGCGTTACCTTCGAGAATGCAAGAATCTGAATGGACTCAGCACAGGTGCAGACGGCGAGAGTAGACGGCTTTCGTCCGTTGTCCTCACCTCTGAGAGAGTTCTGATGGCCGAGAAGCCGCCCCGCTTTTCATCTTTCTGCCTCTCCGCCACTGCCCCTTTAGACTGCTGCGGCTGCTGCTGCTGCGGCTGCTGCTGCTGCATGGCGTTTGTGCATGCGTTTGTCCAGTGAGGGCAGAACGGGTAGGGGATGCCGATGAGGGGATAGTTGACGCGCTTAGAGGCCGGACGCCGGCCCCACCGCACCATGCTCTCCCTGAATGGCGCACATACAGACGACGTGAGCCTGTGTCCGGGATGCAGGTAGCTGTGCTGCTGTGTGTCACCTGGCCAGCTCAGCTTCCAGCAGTTTGCCCGCCTCCGTCTCAGGGAAGTCCCACGGGAAGTCGGCCACGCCGATGTCGTGCAGCTTGTGGCGGTCGCGGTGACCGATAGGTCGCGCCTTGGCACGAGCCATCAACCTGACACGCACAACACAAGGGACAGCCGCTCCTCTCCCACTGTTCATCGCTTTTCTGTGAGAGTGTGTGTGTGTGTGTTGTGTACGTCCAGAGTCTGGGTGCGCCGCATCCCGTGGGCAAGATGAGGTCATAGCCACCGAACCCACCACCGTCATCCTTGCTGAAGACACAACATACACCAACACACACAACCGTATTAATCCCTCCCCCTGTTTGCATTCACGTCACCTCACCCCACCTGCGGCAGACGAGCAGCGCAGGCACGCCCGCTGACACCGTGCCCTTGTCGGTCCCCTCGGCCATCGGGTGATCCTCCGTCACACCTGATGGACGAGCAGACGCCTGTGGGCCGGCAGGTGGCTTTGGCGGTCGTGACGGAGCAGCAGCAGCAGTTGGCTGGGATGGTGCTGACGGCTCCTCAAGGAGGGATGCGAGGGCAGCTGAGGGGAAAGAATGGCCAGAGTGAATCGCCATCTTTCCCCTCCCTTGCCCTCTGTTCACTGACTGACCTTGTTTGGCTTCGATCCTCTCCAAGAGAGCTTTGATGTTGGTCTTACGCTTGCGGCTACGAGTCGTGAACCTGACACAATACCGGCAATACGGTAAGACGACACCAATGTGGCTTCCTGCACATGTGCTGCTCCTGGATCCGTCTTACCGTTTTGGTTTTGATAGTCTGCTTCTCTCCCGCGCATCCGCGTCCCACAGGCGGCTTTGTGCTACCTCTTTGGGCCACTGCAGCAGCCAGGGGGGCGTCACGACATTTGGCGGGTCTGACAGACAATAGAAAATGAACGCAAACAATCGATATGATGTCATGATGTCAATCTCCGCTGCAGGCGCGTACCATTGTCGACTGGCAGGTCTCGAAGTCGCCTTCCCGGTGGGAACGGCCCTGAAAACACGACGAGGCAAACGTGTGCTGTTCCGGTGTTCGTTGACCAGTCGTGTCGTGTTGGGTGTGTTGGCTTACCTACCAAGCACTGGCGGTATCTGGATCTCCAAGCCTAACACAGCGCCACTAGGCGGCAACACCTAAGCACACACCCAGGAACGTGAGCACAGTGAGTGTCCAGCCATCTTACGTGTTGTCGGCAGGATCGAAGCAGCTCCTTCCAAATGCCACCAGAAGGGCTGGTCAACCCTGACACGCAGACAGACATGAACACACACATCAACACCAGCGCTTGCCCCGTCCCCCTCCCTGCGTCCCTGCTCACATTTCTTCGTTGGCGTGATAGCCCTGGCCAGTATCTGCATGCTCTGGGCGCCCGTCAGCTCATAACACACCATCCCATCAACCAGCCCCACACTCAGGCCGCCACTCTCCCCCTGTCCGTCCATCGCCCCCACGGCCCCCTCAAGCGCCGCCATCAACGTCTTGGCCGCACTCGGGTGAACCCACAGCCACACACGACGGGCGGCAGCGGCATCATCGTCATGCTGCTGGACTTCCCAGAGGAATGACACCGGTGCGATGAGTGTGCGTGTGTCGTGTGTGTAGAGGTGGATGGTGCCTCGGTGGTGGCCGGGGAGGAAGTGAGCGTTGAAGATGATGCGCAGGTCGGCCTGGCAGCATTGGAAGAGCTGGCGGATCCTCTCAGGCGACCCCCGCACCTCAACCACCTGCATGTATGACCTGCACCATTAATTAAGACAGACACAGATCCGGCAGGATTGCGCCAGCGGCTCCGTCTTTCTCTCGGATGCACACCACACCTGTCATGAATGACACATCGTCTGTGTGCGGCTCGGTAGACGGCCCGTTGGCACCTCTCAACCGGATGGCTGGCCAGCGCATAGCCCCACCGCTCCTCCATGTGCATACGCTTGGCTGCATTGCATGGACAGACACATCTTCAGGAGTCGCAAACCAGCATCGCGCATGCATATAGCTACCGTGCCATATGTGGGTCTCGAGCCATCGCTTCTTGGCTGACCTGACAGACAGACACCCCTCAGACAAACCAAGGTGGCAGGCAATTGTCGAATAATATACCATAGCTATCCATCCCTCCAAGCCTGACCTCGCCGCATAGATCTCGAGGAGGTGCCTGGGCCGCCGCCTGTCCTTGCGCACACGGCGACTCTCCTGCCATCACATCCGTGAGCAGGCACCAAACCCAACAAACACCAATCTTCGCAGTTCTCACGTGAACTTCTCCATCTCTTTCCACCTTTGGCGGAGTGCGTGCCATATCGCGCAGGACGATGGTGCGGTGCCGCTTCGGAATGCGATAGGGATTGTGTGACATCGCACGACGCCTACATGAAAAGGCACACCCACCCGCACAAGCAAGACAAAGCAGCCAGCCGTGAGCCAATGCATGAGTCAAAGAATCGTCTGCCTTGCTGCCTCCCTCCGTCTGCTTGTTGTATGCACATACATACATACCTCTGGTCTTTGGGCAGCAGCTGGAAGGCCCGTTTGGTGGACCTCGACTCAGCGAGGTTGGTGGCGAACGTCTTCATCTCGCTGAAACGGGCCCTCACAAACTCCCCCAGGTTGAGATACTGCGGGAGGACAGCCGGCCGGCCGCCATCCGACTCATGATCACTCATCGCAGCCGCACTCATACCACTCATAGCACCACCTTCCCTCTTCGTAGATCCGGCGCCGCTGCGGCGTTTCTTCGAGGGCGGCTGACTCATCCACTCATAGATAGGGCCAAATAAAATAACACGCCGAGGAATGCCCCTGTGTGTCTGCGAGCTTAGCAGCGCAGCAGTTGTTTCGCGATCAGGAAGCACCCTAGGCAATCTTGGCCTTGGCTTCCACTCGCGGCAAACTTCAGTCCCAGACACGCGGCAGAAAGTCAGCAAGTGTCCCTGTGTGTGTCGCGTCTCTATCATCTTCTGCCGCGACACACACCCCACAGACCAAGCCATCCAGCCATCCATCCATCCATCGATGCAGCACGCACACGCAAGAAGAAAGTCAGCAAGTGTCCCTGTGTGTGTCGCGTCTCTATCATCTTCTGCCGCGACACACACCCCACAGACCAAGCCATCCAGCCATCCATCCATCCATCGATGCAGCACACACACGCAAGAAGAAAGTCAGCAAGTGTCCCTGTGTGTGTCGCGTCTCTATCATCTTCTGCCGCGACACACACCCCACAGACGAAGCCATCCAGCCATCCATCCATCCATCGATGCAGCACGCACACGCAAGAAGAAAGTCAGCAAGTGTCCCTGCCCCCTTGCCCCTCTCGGCCATGACATCACCCACGATGTCCTCGCGGCCTCATCGGGGCGAAAAGAGCCGCTCCCCGCCCCAGCTGGACACACACACACACACACACAAAGACAGCACTCACTCCCAACTGACGCACCCACCACACACATTCGCACACAAGGAGGGACACACAAGAGTGAGTATGCAGGTCAATCACACGGAATGCAAACTACAATAAACAGCACGTCAGTTACTTAGTGAGTTCGTATATATGTCTGGAAGAGATAGAGCCACGCACACACACACACACACACAGAGGGGACCACGAATACATACCTCTCTCCCTCTCCCCTCCTCCCTGCCCATACATATCGCAATCGGCGCATCAATGCAATGCGCCCCGAAGTAAGTCAACTTGCCCTCTCAAACACATGCAACGAACGAATGTCGCCCATCCGAAGTCAGCCGAGTCAAAAGTGAGTGAGTGAGTGAGTGAGTGGATCACTCAGCAGCGACGTCGCTTCCGGAAATTGTATCCCCGGGTGGCGGCCCCACCGTTCCCTCCGCTCTCGCCCTTCCCCTCCCCTCCTCCCTCCTCGTCGTCCTCCTCCTGCTGCTGCTGCTGCTGTCGCTTGTTGGTGCGGCGGGCGATATATGCCTCGGCCTCGGCAGCGAGAGCAGCGGCCTCGGCCTCGGCCTTGAGCCGCGTGCCGCGTCTGCGCTTCTTGCCTGTGGTATCTGTGGTAAGGGTCTGTTGTTGGGGCTGCTGGTTTCCTTGGTCTTGATGCTGGTGGAGCTCCTGCTGCCCCTGGTGCTGCTCCTGGTGGTGGTGCTGGTTACCGGTCTGCCTCTTCCTCTTCGTCCCCTGGATGGCCCCCTCAGCCATCCGGCCCATCGACGGCCCGGGGATCGAAAACTCTGCACCGACCAAAACACACACGACCCCATCGTCCGTCAAAACACCCGTCAGCCATGAGGTCTCCCCGCTGTCTCTGTGTCTCTGTGTCTCTGTGTCTGTCTGTGTCTGTGTGCGTACCGGACAGGCGGCGTCTCTTCGCCTGTGGTTCCCCTGCGATCTTCTGCCCACTCGCTCTCTTCCTCTTCGTGCCGTGGCGGCTGTGGCGGACTCGCTTGGCCGGCCGCAACGAGACACTTGGCGCCGTACTCTCCCTTCCCCTCTTCTCGCCCCTCTGGCCCGGAGACACACTGAGGGCGTCCGGCTGCACCACCGACTCCTCCTCGCCGCCGGCAGCTGCACCGGTTTCATCACTCCCCCCGCCAGATTTCGACGTGTTGACGCCATCCTGGACGGCCAAGAGCATCGCCGACGAGGCCATCAAGCGCACGAGACACTGCCGTCTGACCCACTCACGGGCGTGGCGAAGGAGCATCACCTCAGTCGCCTTGACGATAACGGCGCGCTCGATGGCCTTGGAAGTGCGGATGATGTCAGTGGCCAAGCAGCACAACACTCGCTGGGCGGCCCGCAGCAGCTCGGCAGCCACACACCCATACATTACCGCCACACACGGCATGACCTTCACCCCGCCCTCCTCGCTGTCATCGCCCCCGTCGCTCTCATCACCCTCGTCCTCCTCGTCGCTCTCGTCCTCCTCGTCATCGGAGACGGCCGGCGACTGCTCGGGCGGCGTGATGGACGGCACACGACGAGGCGGAGTCTTGAAGGGGTCGTCCTGCTCCCATCCCTCTCCCTCTCCCTCATCGCGCAGCCGTCCACTGACCGCCTGCCCAGGCGGCCGCGTCTCGTCGTCATCCAGGCGGCTCCGGGGCTGCTTGCGGGGCGATGGGGTTTGGTCCTCGAGCTCCATGTCGAGGTCAGCGTCAAAGTCATTGATGGGCGACTCAGGCAGACGCGCGGTGGGCTCTCCTGCTGCCGGCCGATTGCTGCGGGGCGGCGAGGGGCTGCGGCTGCCACGTGGGCTCCTCTTTTGGCCGCCGTGAGATGGGGAACGTCGCGGCGGGCTAAGCGGCCGCGCTTCATCGGGGTGCGGCCCAGGAAAACCGCCCCCATGACCATCATCGTCATGAGCCTCGTCGTCGTCGTTGCCGCCGACATCATTGCCACCCCCTCCCCCTCCCCCTTGATCTCCCTCCTCGTCGCCACCCTCTCCCCCCTGGCCGTCATCCAGCACGAAGAAGAACTTCTCCAGCACAGCCCACGTGACGTCGTCCGGCAGCAACGACGTCCTGATTTCGTGGCAGCTCATATATATGAGCTCAGTCCTGGTGAATGCTGTCTCCTCGAGGAGGTCTTGCATGGCCTGGTACCGCTCAGGGAGCCTTGAGTTGAAGAGGGCCGGCAGGTCGCTGTTGATGGAAATGTACAGGTCATAATCACCATCATTGAGCTGACGCGCACGCGACAAGTCCAGCAGGCTCTCCGCCTTGAGCTCCACCCCGATGTTGCCCGCTTTGATGAGCTGCAGGGCGGCCGGGTGGTCGGCTGCCAGATTGGCGGCGATGCGGCGGGGGCGGATCTGCTCAACGAGGGCCGCCACGTCAGGGATGGGCGGTGAGATGCTGGGAATGTCAGAGACGGGCATGGTAATGCCCAGGCCAGCCTCGTGGATGGTCTCAACACAATCCTGCACAGACAGACAGACAGACAGACAACCATGTGTGTGTTGATGGTTATGTATTGTGTGTTCTCCCCCTTCCTTCCATTCCTTCGCCTCACTCACCTTGAGGGGCTGCGAGAGAAGTGAGCTGTAAGCGGGGATCTCCACGCCCACGAGCTGCTCCTTGTGAGCGACGGCGAAGCCCACAACCTTCATGAAGTCCTCCTTGCATATATATATATATATGATGCGCAGCAAATCAAACCCACCTGCAGACACACACATACAGACACACACACACACACACACACACACACAGAGACAGACAGACAGACGGCAGAGAGAGAGAGGAAAGACACGGGTGCCTGTGTGGATGTGTGTCAAGCAAGTGCAATCAAATGATGTGTGTGTACCTCTATGTCATGGTTGCACCGTGCTCGTCCCCTCTCCACTCCCCTCTCCATCGCCTGCAGCACGCCCTCGAGCTGGTGGCCGTATGTCTTGGTGAAGAAGTCCGGCCAGAAGCGGATCTCCAGGACCACCACTCGGTCTTTGAAGCGATCTTCAACGGCCTCGGCAGTGACCTCCTCAACCACCTCCAGCGTGTCTGCACAAGTGAATCAAATGGAGGAATGAAAGAGCAGCCAGGCGACCATTGAAAACGACTTGTCCGTAGCGTTTTGTGGGCTTGACCTTGCGTGCGTACCGAATATGTATCGAATTCGATCCAGCTGAGGCGAGAAGTCTTGCCAGATGTCCTGGTGAGGGTCACAGGTGAACAAGTCGAGTTGCTCCTGCTCGTCCTGGGGGAGGGGCAGACCCAGCCGCTTGTAATGCCTAAAGAGAGCCAGACAGACAGAGAGAGACGTTTAAATGATGCACTGAGTACTGAATGAGACGCAGCTGCTGTCTGTATGGTTTCTTGCGCACGTGTGCGCACGCACCTGACGGCCGTCTGCGGTCGCACGCTGCCTTCGATGCGGCAGAGCAAATCTGCCTTGGGCACTAACCCATACAAGCTGACAGAGTGAGACAAGAGCACCCAGGCACACAATAATATACAAGGCGAATGGATGCATGCATGCCCGGCTCTCTGTATCAATTGATCGGCCCCAGCTTATTTGTTCAAGTGATGTGAACGTACATACCGTCGCTCGGGGTTCTTCGACGTGGTCGTGTTGCTCGATGGTGGCCTGCATCATGGGGTCGTCCTCGGGCAGCTCCACTGCCGGGGCGAGATCGACATGCAGGGCAATCTCCATGGGCGGAATGGCCGCACGAACGGCCGGCTCTGGCAACGTGAAGAAGCCGCCCTCCAAAGGACCATCATCCTCCTCTTCGTCTGTGCCGTCGTCCATATCATCATCAAACGATTCCATGACGGGATGCCGCGGCCTCGCAATGACATCCATCCCCTGTCTGGCCGCTCCGTCGGCCGATGCACTGCCAGGCTGACCTTCGCTATCATGCGGCGTCGACTGCCGCTCCATGGTCGAAAAAGGACACTTCCTCTGCTCGCCGAAATGTCCGCTTTGACCAACTTTCTTTCTCACCTCTTCCTGTCTGAGACGCCCACAGTCTCGAGCCCCCACGATGCGAGCTGCGAAAACGGGGCGATGAGGTGACTGATGGATCTGCGACGCTCGGCGCGGGGCGCCCGCCAGGCAAAGAGCGAGGAGCAAGATAGCAAGAAGATCAGCGTCAAACGAGAACATGATGACAGCAGCGGCGTTCACGGCCACAAAAGGGTGCGCAAGCACGAGAAGGCCGTCAAGAGTGAGGACGAGAAAGCATTAGTTCAAGTCGAGGAAGGAGCGGGTCAGGATGAGATGGTGGCGGTCAGTGCTGATGAGGGCAGTGGCGAGATGGTGGCTGCGGAGCCGTATCCGAATCTTCGGCGGCCTTCTGCCGACGAGTGCTACGCCGTCGAGAGGGCGCTCCGGGATCTGCATGGCGGCGACCGCGTCAAGGGAAGGGTGAGATGCCACCCCACACCACACCAATGGAAACACCTGCCTGTGTGTCTTGTGGCGTGTGTGAGTGCGTTTCAGGACTGCAGTGTGCTGGACATGCTGGTGAGTGTGATGCTCTCGCAGAACACCACCGACAAGCTATCGAAGCAGACATTCCAGAGTTTGAAGGTCAGCATCACTTGCTGTGACCGATCCATCCATCTGCAGCTGATCTCACCGCCAGCTGGCTTATCTGTCATTCAGGCTGCCTTCCCCACGTGGCGGGCGGTGCTCGATGCCCCCGCTGCAGACGTCGAGGCCACCATACAGAAGGGCGGCCTGGCCCACACCAAGGTGGATACGCGAGAAGCAAGGGCGTCAGCACACTTACAGGGGGATGGCTGTTGCTATTCCTTCCAGGTGAAGCGCATCCAGGCGATTCTGCAATCTGTAGTCGATGAGGGACATGTGGTGAGCGAGGCAAGCAGCAGCAGCAGCCGCCATCTATCTCCCAACTTGGCGTGTTGTTCAGGTATCTGGCGAGCCGTCGCTGGAGCATTTGAGGGGTGTGGCCGACGAACAGGTCAAGCCGGCGCTCCTGAGGTATACAGCAACGGAATGAGCGGCCAGCAATGGAGCTACACAAGTGCTTGTATGCTGATTGGTCAGGTACAATGGCGTAGGTCCCAAGACAGTCGCGTGTGTCATGATGTTCGGACTGGGTAGGCCCATGCACATGGCCCATAGCTATAGCTGCTGGTTGATCTCCCTTTTCCAGGTCGTTCGGAGTTTCCCGTGGACACTCACGTGCTCCATATCGCGCAGCGGCTGCATTGGGTGCCGCAGGCCGCAACGCGCATACAGGCGTACCAACATCTCAATCGCAGGTCAGTCAGTTGTGTGTATGACACTGCGAGCCTAAGATCATGTGTTCATGTTTGTGTGTGACCCGGTTAACCAGGGTGCCTGACGACATCAAGCACTCGCTGCACCTTCTCTTGGTGGAACACGGCAAGGTGAATGAGCATTTCCCTCCGCGCGCACCGCACAGACAGGCGTGTAGTGTATGTGTGTGTGGTGGTTCCCTTGTTCTGTTCAGTGCTGCGTCTCGTGCGCCAAGAATGGCCGTCTGCAGAAGGAATCCTCAGGATCCTGCCCCCTGCAGCCTCTCATCCACCGCGGCACCACGCCACCCCAGCTGGAAGGCAGCACCTCTCAGCCGGCAATGCTGAAAGACGACGATGGGCCGCCAGCAAGTGGAGCTGGCGCTGCTGCTCCTGCTGCAGTCAAGACAGAGGGTGCAGAGCTGGTGCGGGTGAAAGAGGAAGATGAATGAGTGGAAGGGTGGGTGGATGCTGGGATGCGATGCATGTGTTTTGGTGGGTGGGTGCACAGCACACATGCCGACGGGTGGCACTCACTGGGTGGGCTGATTGTCGCCTTGGTTGTACATATACATACAGTGCGTGGTCGGGGACGTCCGTGCCACTCGTGTGCATGCCGTCTTCTGGGGCCGTACCTACCGTGTGTGGGGTGGAATGACGGCCGCTGTGGGTGTCTATAATTATAAAGTGCGGTGCAGTGCAGTGCAGTCCGGTCACTGCAGTGTGTGTGTTGAAACCTTGGACACAGACATGTACGTATGTACATGAATGGTTCATCTATCGGTCCTTTCCTCTCGCCGTTCGGGCCAGCATCCATTCCATACATCTGTCTGTCTGTCTGGCTTACATCCATGTGTGTCTCGTCACTCGCGGCTGGATGGACTGACCGGTCACACGCATCAGTCGATCCATCCATCCATCCATCCTCCATCCACCCGTCCCATCAGTCCGCCTGTCTGTCAGCCAGTACTGTCTCGGCCGTCACACAGGCGCGTCTCTATCATCTTCTGCCGCGACACACCCCCCACAGACCAAGTCATCCATCCATCCATCCATCCATCGATGCAGCACGCACACGCAAGAAGAAAGTCAGCAAGTGTCCCTGTGTGTGTCGCGTCTCTATCATCTTCTGCCGCGATACACACCCCACAGAACAAGCCATCCATCCAGCCATCCAACCATCAGCACACATGGCAGAACAACGCAGAAAGTGAGCAAGAGTACACGTCTGTCTATCTCACAGACACACATGCCCCCTTGCCCCTCTCGGCCATGACATCACCCACCCATGATGTCCTCGCGGCCTCATCGGGGCGAAAAGAGCCGCTCCCCGCCCCAGCTGGACACGCACACACACACACAAAGACAGGACTCACTCCCAACTGACGCACCACACACAAGAGTGAGTATGCAGGTCAATCACACGGAATGCAAACTACAATTAATAGCACGTCAGTTAGTGAGTTCGTATATATGTCTGGAAGAGATAGAGCCACGCACACACACACACACACACACACAGGGGACCACGAATACATGCCTCTCTCCCTCTCCCCTCCTCCCTGCCCATATCGCAATCAATCGGCGCATCAATTGATGCGCCCCCAAGTAAGTCAACTTGCCCTCTCTGGGAAGTGAGCGGTTTCACGGAAAGTCAGAACGGCCGAAAGCCTTTGAAAGCCTCTGAAGCCACACGCATCTCGCACAGCTGGCGTGCCTTGCCGGATCTTGCGAAAGAAGCGGTAGAAAGGCATTGCTCAGTAGTCGAGTGGCCTGCGGGAGCAATGAGTGAGGAGGCCAAGGAGAACGTGCTGCATGGCGAACACGATGTCGGCGTCACAACGCAGGTCAACGAATGACAGGACGGTCTTAAGAGATGGACTGAATGGCTGACGGGCATATGTGTGGTGCTTGTCCGTGTCAGGACTATGAGGGTGCGCGTGTGCGTCTGTGTGACCCCCTGCGTGTGGCTGCAGAGGTGGTCGACGGCATACAGCCACTTAACAAGTTCAGGTAGGCCATCCGAGGCACGCACATACAGACAGACACATCGACCGGCCGGCTCGGCTACTCACAAGGTGCTCTCTCTGCCTGGTTGGCTTGGCTGTCAGGCGTCTGTATTGGGGTGTGTTCCTTGGGAGTCTGAGTGGCTCTTCGCCGGATCAGTGGGTGGAACAACTCAAAGAGCAGAGGCAGCAATACAAAAAGGTGATGAGTGGACACAAGAAGGGTCGGTTGTGGTACCGGGAGGGCAGCCGTGTGTGTGTCCTCCCTCCCTCCCTCCCTGTGTGCAGATGAATGCCACTCACCAGGAGCTCCTCAAGCCTGGCGCCCTCACCGGGCTGGACCCAAATGTGTTCCACCCCCTCTCCAACGCAGCACACGTGCGCGCAAAGGAAGGACACACAGACAGTTTGCCCGCCTTTGTGCATCCTGTCTGGGTGTGTTGTGTGCGTTGGATGTGGTGTACCAGAATCCATGGCTTGTTCGGCACAAGAATGAGGAGCTGATGGCGGAGATCTGGAAGGACATCGAGAGGACGTAAGCAAAGCACACACATGCCGGCAAATCGCGGCTCGCCGAGTGCGTGACGCCGTTGTTGCCCCCCTCTCTCTCTCTCTCTCTCTCCCTCTCTCACACCTTCCTCCCTGTGTGTGTCCGTGTCAGGTTTGCTGAGCGTGAGTTGTTTCAGAGTGACAGCGTGCGCAAGTCCCTCCAGCGCATTCTCTTCAACTGGAGCAAAGAACACGAAGACATCTCCTACAGACAGGTTGGTAGATCGACAGGGAGGGAGGGAGGGATGGAAGGAGGGAGGCATGTCGATGCCACCCACCTACATGTTTGTATGCCCTCCTTCTCGTATGGTTGGATGCGTGTGGTGTGCAGGGCATGAATGAGCTGCTGGGGGTCATCTATGTGGTGTGCTTCCGCGACCAGTACAGGCAAAGCGAGGGCACCTCAAAGGCTCACACGTAGGCATCCACACACACGCCTAGCCCAGACACGCACCACTGGGGCGCCCCTTTGTGTGTGCAGTGTGTGCAGTCAGCTGTGTTGCGGCAGCGAGGAGGCCCTCGAAAGCGACGCATTCGCAATATTCAGCGCCCTAATGGAGCTTGGCATGAAGTGCGAACACGCACAGACACACACACACACACAGAGAGAGAGAGAGAGAGAGAGAAACTCAAAGCACGATGTCTGTGGGGGGTCCGTCAGGGAGATCTATGCGCCCGCCCCTGACCCCCCCGCCGCCAGGGCCCCTCCTCTAGTGCCACCAGCACTGCGTGGCATGGGAGGACCCACTCCTGCACCGCCGAAAAAACCCGTAAGCAGCGACCGACCCAGCCATTGCGGCTGTTCATCCATCAATCCATCGTGCACATCCGTGTCGTGCGGTGCATGTGTGTGGTGTGCAGCAATCGGCGGGTGTGGTCCGGTGCGAGCAGATCTTCCACAGCCTGCTCAAGGCGGCCGACGGCCCTCTGTACCAGCACCTCTGCGCCAATGACATTGAACCGCAGCTGTTCCTACTGTATATAAGATGCTGATTCATCATTCCTTGGTTCGGTTCCCTTGTTGATGTATGATGGTCTGTCTGTTGTCCTTGTGCAGGCGTTGGGTGCGGCTGTTGTTTAGCCGGGAGTTCCACCTGGACGACACGTGCCACATATGGGATGCGTTCTTCGCCGATGCGTACCAGATGCGGCATAAGAGCAGCACCACCGGCAGCAAGGGATCGACCCCACAGGCCGACAATCCTTTTGGCAACGCTGTCAAGAAGAAGGACGTCAAGCAGCTGAGCCGCGAGTCGTCTGATGCGCTGCCCCTGGTGAGAAAGATAGCCTGGCTGAACCTGTGTGTGTGGGCGGCATTGGGTGGCATATCTGTGTGCGTCTACACGCCTACCTGCTCAGGTGGACTTCTTCGCCATTGCAATGCTCAAGTTCGTCCGAACGCACTGTAAGCGACGACAGCAAGGCAATGGGGCCACGGTGGTAGACACACATCGGTCGGTCCGATCCGTCCATGTGTGCAGTGTTGTCGATGGACACGAATGGGTGCCTGAAGCGTCTGATGCGATTCCCGCCACTCGAGGTAGGTCTTCCACCAAAGCTTTCACACATACACACATTTGCACGTCTGACTGTCTGTCTGTCTGTCTGTGTCCCTTTTCAGTCCATCCAGCCCCTGGTCCATCTCGCTTTGGAGTCACGGGCAACCAAGCAGCAGCTGCCCACACCAAAGCCAGAAGCAGCGCCCAACCCAACGGCGGCACCGGCTGTCCCAGGCACACCCGTGTCATCCCCTTTGCCGCCCGTGTCGACATCCCCCGCTCCTTTCCCCATTCCACCTCTCGCCCCCTCTCCCCCCGCAAAGCCATTCACCGACGCAGTGTCACAACAGCAGCAACAGCAGCAGCAGCAGCAGCCCGCCGCTCGGTCGAAGCCCACAGTGCAAAACGCTGCACAGTCGACAGCGGCGGCGACGCCTGTTGAGAGAGGGAAGGTCGAAGACCAGTCGCTGGCTCTGTACGGTGTGGCGAGCAGAATGCAGGACCTCATGGATGCGCTGAGTCAAGTGGCGGAGGACCTTACCAAGTGGCAACACAGATGCATCATGGTGCACTCTTTGGCGCTGTTTGCATGCTGCGTGTGGTTGGGTGTTTGTATGTCAGGGTGGGCGCGCGCGTGACTCTGAAGGACGCCGTCAAGGAGCTCAGGAGCCTCCACCAGACCGTCATCACCATCGCCAACAACCAGACGAGCGCCGCCAACCCACACAAGACCACCAGGCGCAGCCCATCCCCCGCCCCGCCATCTGCCAACCCCCAGCCCCCCTCATCCCCTGCGCGGCACGTCAATGACAGCAGCAGTGACGCTCCAGCAGAGTGCCCGCAGCTGATCGATTTCATCGGGGCGTCAAATCGCTTCAGGTCGGGCAACAGCAGTGCGGCCGTGGCGGAGGGCGGCGCGGCTGAGCTGCCGAGCAAGAGGGGGCAGGATGGGGAGACGACTGATGCGATGCGGACGAATGGTCTGCCTGGGGAGGGAGTGAATGGCACCAGGGGTGAATGAACAGTGACCGACACTGTGTGATGTGAGGGCATGCGCAGCGTTTCTTTGGTATGGACGTGAAAGACACTGCTTTTGTTTCTTACTTATTGGTTACATGGTGAACATTCACGTCATGGCCAACACCGGCCAGCTTCGAGCAAGGGTTTGGGGTTCAGGGTTTGCGCGAACGATGAGGTGAGGCAAGGACCGGCGTCGTCTCCGAATGTGAGGACACGTCCGGGCAGCGTCAGACGTCACTCGGTCCTCGAGATCCATTGAGTTCAATGAGCGAACAGGCAACCCATCCCGCCGGCAAACTCTACGTGCCGCCCCACCAGCCTCCACAACGCCACCACACGGGGCTCAGCTCGGCTCAGCCAAACGCCTGCATGCAATCCAACCGCACACCAACCACACTGTTTAGCCTTCCTACCCCGCTCCCTTTGTCCCTCGCTCCTTGACTGTCGGTCTGTCTGTCCACATTCCGACCTTTTGGGTGCGATATGGCTCCCGCGTGACGATGGCCGGCAGGGGGGAAGTCGACGTGTGTGAGGAAGAGGGCCGCTGTGTAGAGGCTGGAGGCTGCCAACGTCACTCAAGGTATGTAGACGTATGTAGAGCATCTCGCTCGGCTTCGCGATGGATGAAGTCGAGGCATTGGCCGCGCAATTCCGCCCAGGCCATGTCGGCGCTTCTCCTGCGCACGTTAATTGCTTTCGCAAGCAGCTAAATCACCCAGAGGCTTTCGGGCATGTCGTAAAACAATAAACAGCGCACTGAGATCTGGCTTTGAGATGCTGAAAATGCTTTCCTGATCTCTGACTGTCTGTGCAGGATGGCGGACTTGCTCTCACGTGTCGTCCTGCCGCTCATCAAGCACATCCATTCATCTCCACCACATCAGCAAGCTCCCTTCTCATCTGATCCACGATGGTGCATCTCTTCTTGCTCTGCCTTGCCCTCGTGGCGGCTTCGACCACCGCGCAGGTCGTGGGCGTCGACAACCGCCGGGACATCACCGTGACGAGCCAGCGCAACACCACCCTCATCATCAACGGCCAAGAGGTGAGGATCTTTCACACAGGGGCCTTTTGTGAAAGACAGACACCCATCTTTCACACGATGTGGACCTTTTCGATGCCCGGCCCCTGTGTGAAAGATCCTGTGTGTCTTTCACACTCTTGGCGTTTCTGCTTCCCTTTGTGTGTCTGTCTATGCAGGTGCCTGCCTCCATTCCTCTCACCTTCAGCGGCTGCAGATACGTCTACCGCTTCCAGGACACCGACCCCTCATGCCAGATCATCGAGTACGAGCTGCCGGAGAAGCGAGTGATCTTCCCAAATGTGTCGGTGGAGGCCAAGTTCTGCTGTGCTAAAGTGGAAATCGACCGCCGCAGCCCGCCGCCTAGGAGGGCATTGAGGGCGGCCCGGGCACTGCAGCGGGGCAAGACGGCCAACACCACCACTGTCGTGCCTGAGATGAGTCAGCAGGGGCCGGCTGCTGCCGCCGAGGGTGGCCCCGTGACGGGGGAGACCAACGTGACGGTCAACCAGGGCGACCTGCTGCAGATTGTTCTGCCTGGTGAGAAAGATGACGGCATAGCAAGAGATAGACTCGTTGGTCAGCTTCCCATCCTCTCTCTCTCTCTCTCTCTCTGTGTGTGTGTGTGTGTGTGTGTGTGCGTATGCGTGTGTTTCTGCCAGGTGCGATGGACCGTGCTGGCTTCGGGTGGGCGGTCGACGCGACGCCCGATATGCCTCTCGTCGATGTGGCCAATAGTTTCGGGTGTCTGCAGGTCCGCGGACAGGTACGATTGACCCATGAATGACGATTGGGTGGATGAGCTCTCTCTCACCTTGTGTGTGTCTGTATGCTTGTGTGTTGGTGCAGAACGGTACGTCCAACAGCTGCAGCGGCTCGTGGACGCTCTCGTTCCTCGCGATGAACCCCGGCAATGGGATCATCACACTCGCCGTAAGATGGCTGTCATCATCAGGTGTGTGCCGTCCGCCCATTTGTGTGTTGGTGCTGTTTCTGTCTGTCCCTCTATCAGTATGTGCCCCGTCCCAATGCGACTGAGACGCCTCCACCCAAGCCGCACGCCGACGGACAGGGCCCCCCGCCCCCTCGTCCCGTTGCTGGTGCCGCTCACCCTCCACCTCCACCGCTCCCTGCTGCTGGTGAAGGCCACCCGCCCCCTCCCCCGCCACCTCATGCCGAGAATGCGCCAGCTGCAGTGCCGCCCCCTCCCCACGGCCGCGGGCCTCCCCATGCCCCCGGTGCGCAGGCGGGCCCGGCGATGGACAGCGCCATCGCAATCTTCAAGGTGAGAAGGGTCTGCGTTGATCGGGATGAGTGTGCTCCAATTGTTGACCCCTGTGTGTGTGGACCATGTGCTTTGTTCAGGTGGATGTGACGATTCTGCCTGTCGATGCTGAGGCCGAGGACTAAAGGGAGAGGGGCGGTGCTGCGATGTGCTGTGTTTGTCCAAGAGAGCGCCCTTTTGGTCAATGCGCTACTGACTGGTCTGCATGTTGTTGATAAAAGATAGAAGATAGATATGTGAAAGAATCAGGGAGGGAGGGAGGAGATCGCATCAGAGAGGGGCACCCTCGCCCTCCTGTTTTGTTTGTGTGGGCTTACAAACACAGCTTTTTGAAGGCTTGTCGTGAGGGCTACACAGACTCTGTAAAAGCGGAATGCGTTGACACATGAAGGAAGGAGAGTCGTCCATAAAGCGTCCATCCACCGACACGCATCACGCAAAGAACCGAGATAAACTTGCGCTTGCAAATACTATGCAGTCAGACCACACACATGCCGCGCCGTGTCGCCCTTTCTGTCCATCGTCAGAAAGAGCCGAGTCAGCCGACACACATACAGGCACGCACTTTCTCCACTATCCCCTTGAATATTCAATGCATCCTCGCACTGGCCATGTCCGCGGTGAGTGCCGTGTCAACCGTCGAGTACCTCATATGGCCTGCTGCGGCCCCCTCAGCCACCGCCGCCATCCCCATCCCCCCTGCCACTCCCACCTGCCTGACGACGCCCCTCCTCATCTGCACCCACATGCTCTGCAGAAACATGACCACCGCCTTGCCCACCCAGTTGAGGCACGACGCATACAGCACAAAGTGGTGCAGCCCCTCCTCCCACCGCAACTTCAGGTCTAGCACACACGCGTCGCAAAACCACGAGAGCATCGCCACCGTCACCCAGATGCCGTCCAGCACCAGCAGCCCGGTCAGCACCCAGTTGAGCTGCACGATGGACCGCCACAGCGTGCCGGCCTTGCTGCTCTCCCCTGTGGCCCAGATGAAGTAGCCCATCAGGTAGATGGGCATGTTGAAGTCGGTGCGGCCCAGGCAGAGGAACAGCGAGATGGCCAGTATGGTCAGGTACAGGCTGCGGCAGCTGCCGGGGATGCTCGAGTCGTCCAGATTCGCGATGTAGCCGTCCTGATGGGCAGCTGCTGCAGGGTGGTGTTGCGGGTGAGACCGGGCCGAGCTGCCGTCGTCCACCGGCCGATAAGACATAGTCTGCTCTGCGGAATAGAATAATAACTGCTGCGGCGCTCCAGCAAGGTCTCTTCTGCAAAAGGAGGCACCCTAGACAACTGAACTGCGCCACTCAGAGATGTCTTTCTACCGCTGCTTTTGCAAGATCACGGCAAAGGGATGTCAGCAGCGCACGGCGCGTGGCTCTCAAACCGCTGGAAGATCTTTTTCCTTGAGCTTCGGATTCAAGCTCGCATGCGAGCTCGATACGGGAAGCCGACATCGGAGCAGGAAGAGGTGCACTCTCGTACTTGCACGTCGTCTGCCTGACAGATTTCGACGCCCTGCACCTCGTCTTCGTGGTCGCTGCGGCAGCAAGAGGAAGAACACACGAGCTACAGATGCTGCTCACTGCTCACTATCCACTGCTGACGAATCTGTCGCCCTATGATGGGTGATGCATCTGGCGCGGCTGATCCCGCGGCTTTGCAGCTGGCGCTTCCTCCCGCTGTGGATGTGGAGCAGCCTGACTATACCAGGGCCAAATTCAACGCCGAGTACGTCCTCCCGTCTGAGCTCTATGTCGCCGTCGACAGCAAGAGGCGACGACTGCTCGACCTCGCCGAACGCGCCCTCGAACACGTCCCTGCCGGCGCCCCTGTGGACATCGATCCAGCCGGTGCCCGCATGCCCAGCCTGTTCGAGCAGGTGGAGTCGGACGTGAGGGAGACCTTCGAGTCGGAGCGGTGTCGGACGGCATATGACGCCTACCTGACGGAGCTGTCGTCTGACTCGCTGCAGGCCGTGGCCAAGCGGAAGAGTATGGAGCGGTGCTTCCGGCTGTCGGATGCGGGCGGGGCTGTGGGTGTGGGGGGTGAGGGGGGCGAGGCGACGCTGCCCGAGCGGCTCCAGAATGAGCGGCAGGAGAGTGTGCAGCTGGAGAGTTATCGGCTGGTCGTGGAAAATCCCGCTTCCCACAGGGGTTCGAAGAAGGTCATTAACGTCTTGTCAAATAGCCTGCGACACTACCCCTACCCCCATCTGATGGCCACCCATCGGTTCCGTGCTAATGGCCAGCGGCGGTCTGTGTCGCCGCAGCGTGCTCTCATGGACAGCAAGAGTGAAGACGACTGTCCTGCTGGTGCTGATGCTGCTGCTGCTGCTGATGTAGAAGTCAAGAAGGAGAAGAAAGGATTGGTAAGTGAGACCAGGGCATCCCTCATGCACTTGGTGTGTGTGCCTGTGTCGATTTCGTGTTGTCGTGTCTTCGTATTTTATGTCTATCAGGCGATTGTGCGTGTGCCCCGCACCAAGCCGCCCAACTCAAAGAAGCGCCCTCCAGCGTCGGCCTTCAAGAACAGTCTGCCCGAGACGCTCACATACGACCCCGTGGCCATATCGCCCCTCATCCAGCCCACCGAGCCTGCCGCTGCCGGCCACCACCAACCCCAGCACCGCTCGCCAGCCGAGGACACGATCGTGTCGTTCGCCTTTTACCACCGGGAAGGCTTTCTGGCGCAGGAGATCGACCTGCTGGGCAGCCAGACATTGGGCGACCTGCGGGACGCCCTCAAATGTGAGGAGGACACCAACTTCGACGGCGCGCGGTTCAGCATGAGCGCGCTCTTCTACTTCGACGGGCAGTTCTACGCCGACGCGCGCGACCCGGTGGCCGTCGACTACTCGGTGTGGCTGCGGCCGTGGATCGACAAACAGGCCGCCCACAAGGGCGGCAGAAAGGGCGCAGTGGACGACGGGGGCAGCGAAGACAGCAACAGCAATCAAGGAGGCGATGATGCCAATGACACCTTGTTTGACAGGGAGCAACAGGGGCTGATCGACGCGGCCGGGCGGCCGACCAAGACCATGCACGAGACGCGGCTGGCTGATGCGTCATTCGGCGTGCAGGCGCAGGGGATGTTTCTGCACCAGGGGGAGTGCGAGCACCGCATCGTGGTCACCAACGTGCGGGTGAGGGGGCCCCACGACTGCCCCTACGATGACGCCTACCCCATCAACACATTCCTCGCAGAAACACGATTCAGGAAATGCCAGGTGGGCACGGTACGGCACGTGGCGCACAGGGCAACAGATGCGTGTGTGTGTGTGTGTGTGTGTGTGTGAATCGATGTGTGTGTCCATGGGGTGTGTGTGTGGCCTGGTCTGTAGGTGTGCAACGTGAATGTGAGCGAGCTGATGCTGGTCAAGGAGCGGCGAGTGGAGACCAACCCGGCCTTCATGTGCCACAACTGCTACGTCATGCTCGACCAGGACGAACACGGCAACCGCAGACACATGATGCAGCAGGGGGCCAGTGGTGGCAAGGAGGCCACCAAGAAGCAGCGGATTGTGTATAACTACAGACAGAATGCCGGATGCCTATAGCCGAGGGAGGGACAGTGATTGGTATGTGGTGGGTGGGTGGTTGCGAATGCCTGACTGGTGCTCTCACCAAGTGCTGCGATAGAGATAGATGTGCGTGTGAGTGTCTCTTTTATGACGTGGGTGGACAACAAAAATGCCAACGAGCGACCGTGTAAATGTGACCCATCACATCCCGATGGTTTAGAAGAACATCATTGCCGGCGTAAAGAAGTCTCGCGAGTTAGCGTCACTGACCACCTGCCTCCTGCTGCCCGTCCTATCACTGGCCGCCCCCCACCCCCCCACCTCCCGCATCAGCGGCACCAGAGGCAGCACCACCGACCGCATATGCCCACACACATACTCGCCATTCAGCGCATCCACATCCGGCAGCCTGTCGGGCCGTCGCGACATCCGCAGACCGCACAGCGTGCTGTCCAGCCGCCGGGCCAGCTCCTCTCCATAGCTCGGATGAGACGGCGGCCCTGAGGACGCACCGGCGCCATCAGCTGCTGCTGCAGCTGCTGGTGACGGCTGTCTCGGTGGGCTCTTCTTGTTCCGCGGGGTGATGACCTCTTTCTCAACACCGCCGGGCGAGGGCCTCCTGGCTGCTGCTGATGCTGAGTCATCTCCAGGCGGCTCCTCGCTCCTCACCGACCCCTCTCTGTCGACGTCGCCATTTCGCGACCTCTTGCTGCCTCTGCCAGCGCCCCTGTCTGCAGGCGACAGGGGCTCTCGGCTGGCGGCGCGGTCGCGGTCGCGGTCCCGGGGGCGCTTGCTGGCGGATGATGTGTGGAGGTCCTTCTCGCTGGCTTTGCTGAGCTCGACTCTGATGCGGGTGCCGCCGACACGATAATCTGAGTGTGGAAAAGGGGAGCATTCCCGTGTTGTGTTGCATTGTAATCGGAGAGGAGAGAGACTCCTGTATGTGTGTGCGGACCGTTTCGTTCCTTGACGGCATCCATGGCGGCTGACATGTCGCGGTAGGTCACGAAGGCGCAGCCCTGACAGAGAAGAGAAGATCAGTTTACTTGCCCTGATGACGGCGTGCTCTCTGTGGCAGCGATCCGTGTGTCCGTGTTTGTACTCATTCATACCTTCCCTTGCAGCAGGCGGACTTCCCTGATCTCACCAAACGACTCGAAAATCTCACCTGTCAGTCAGTCAGCACACATCAAGCAATCGTCTAGACCAGTCACATCGCACTTGCCTTGCCGCTGGCCTGGCTTGTGTGTCCTCCTTCCTTCTCAGACACATAACATACGTAGTTTGGCCTCGTCGACGTCTTGTGCGTCCTGCAGCCGACCGATGAAGATGGTCGGCCGATGGGCAGCCACCGCACCATTGGGCCGCGGCTCGTCGCGGCTCCTCTCCTTCTCCCTCTCCCTCTCCCACTCTCTCTCCCTGTCGCCCCTCCGTGACGGCCTGTCCGACCTATTATCTCTATCACGATCTCGCTCGCGTGATGACGGCCGCCGTCGGTCCCTCTCCCGATCTCTGTCTCGGTCCCTCTCACGCGAGATGCTCCGTGGCCGCCTCATCAGGGGTCGGTCGCCGCGCATGGGAGGGGGAGGCCCCCTGCCGTCCATCGGCGCGTCATCGTAGGGCTCCATCGGTGGCCCGCCGTAGCCAAACGGCGCTGACATGACAGGGAGGGCAACGAGGATACTTACTTCGTGAGTGTGTGAGTGAGGGCGAGTTTGTGCGTGCCACCGTACGTGGTCTGTGTAGTGGGAAGAAGTCGTGTGGTGGCGGAGGGAAGGGGGCGCCGTAGGGCGGCGGGTAGTCGGGTGGGTAGTCAAAGTAGCCGGGGTGGTCGTAGTCGTAGTAACCCATCGGAGGGGGCCGAAACGGTGGGGCACCCATCTGAAGGCAAACACACACACACAGACAGACAGACAGAGAGACAGACACACAGACAGACAGACATAAAGACGGTCGGTCGGGATCACTTAACTTACGCCCATTGTCCCTGTGCTGTGGTGGAGTGTGTGATACCTGTGGGCCGTGGTCCATCCATGGCGGTGGTCTGCCATCCATGGGCTGCCGGTCACGCCGATCGCTCTCTCGACGGGCCTGCTGAAGCTCCCGCGTCTCCCTCGACAGGCTGACATACATATAGACCAGCGAAATCGGACGGACGGAGAGACAGACATGCACGGTGAGTGCCCCATCCGCTCTGCCAAGCACCACCCACGCAGCTCACCTGATCTTGAGAGGGTTCTTGCCACACCAGACGCCCTGCATCTCGTCTTTGGCCCTCATCGCGTCCCTCTCGTCGCGGAACCTCACGAAGCCAAAGGGCATGCCCTTGCTCGGGTCCTGGACGATCCGCGAGTGCGAACAGCTCGGGTATTTGGGCTGGAAGAGGGCCGTGACCTCCTCCTCCGTCACCTCGCCGTCAAGGTCGGCAAGGAAGATGGAGTAGAAAGTCTCCCGAGGCTCAGCCCCAGCCCTCTTGGCCCACTTCAGACTCCAACACCTGATTTGATGGATGCGCAGGCACATCACATCCAGACACACACAGGGAGATGGATGGCCATTGCAAGCAAAGTGTTGGCGTCATGCGCAGGGCGGCTCGGCTGACTTTGCGTCGCATCCCTCCATCTGTGTGCCCTGCATGGCCTCCAAGACCCTCTTGGCCGCATCTCGCGTTGAGAACTCGGCAAAGCCATAGCCCCTATCGGCCATCAGCCGGATCTGGCTGGGCGCCTCGCCATGCTTGGCCATCTGCTCGGTGATGTACTTGGCCTCCATCCATCCTTCGATCTCGCCGATGTACAGCGTGTTGCCTGTAGTGGCGGTTGTGGTGGTGCCCTTGGACTCACTGATGCCGATCTCCTCACTCATCATAAATATATGAAACACACCAACAGGTCCTACCGAAGCCCTATATCTATCCAGAAGCGACGAAGCTGCTCAAACTCCACATACGTCTTTGCTCAGCTCGCAGCTCGCATGGGCTCGGTAAGCCACTCGTGGTTTCTTTTTCGCTGTGTGGCTCTCTGGCATAGCCACAGGGGTGTTCGCTGATTTTCGTATAGCTCAGCTGAACCCTGTCTTCGCCTCAGCTCATCTTCCCTTCGCCTGGCTACTCTCAGCTGACCCGACGCTCTTGGCCGTCTATGGATGGCGGCGAAGGACAGCTCGGCCAAGGGGCGTCACGTGGCTTCGTCGACAGCGACTCGGCATCAGCAGCACACGACGATGTCGTCCTCAAGGCCACCGCGAGGCTGTCCGAGTCGCGTGTCGCTGACCACCGGACCACGGGCCACCCCTCTGCCTCCCCCTCCCCTCTCACCGTCCCCTCTTCATGCTCCGGCGACCGCGGCACGCCGCCCTCATTCCGTTCGAGGTCGATGGACGAGCCGCTGATGGGGTCTGGGCGAGGCTGCAGGTGCGCTTCTGACGACACCACGAGGACACCGTCACCATCGCTCGGCCCGGCGGACGACTCCAGCGGCCATGAGGAGGCCTCGCCCTACCCCTCCCAGCCATCCCAACACGCAGATGATAGCTCACCCACGTCCCACCCACAGCACCACAGCCACAGCCACAGCCCCAGCACGGCATCCCCCTTCCCATTTCAACCGACCAAGGAAGACCCACGGCACCACCACCACCACCACTATCACCATCAGCATCAGCATCAGCAGGCGGCCAGCCTCCACCTGGCGATTGGCAGTGTTGGGCGGCACATGAGGGAGAGGGAGAGGGAGAGGGAAATAGAGAGAGAGAGGGAGAGGGGGAGGGAGGCGGCTCACCCGTGCATGACGCCCGACCCATCAGAGGGCACGCAGCCTCCCTCTGTGGGCGGTGGGTCGATGCCCGGGTCGCCTATGCCTAAGGTCAAGCGGAACTCGTCGTTCCTCTTCAGTCCAGGAGGGCCGCCGGAGAACACCCTCGAGTATGAGGTCGACCTGGTCAGCATAGCATAGATACCATAGCATCAGACAGACAGACAGACAGACAGAGAACAGCCCTCGTTTGGCGCGTGTGCATGTCTAACAGTCCTGTGTGCCGTGTGTGTCACCCGGTGTGTGTTGTGCAGTTGGCGGAGGAGTATCTGCGTTGGGCGGAGCGGCGTCGGTATCAGCTGGCCCGTGTGCAGAGTGGGGGCGGGCTGTATGTGTACGTCCGCGGGAGCGGCCCCGACGCGGTCATCCTGCTGCACGGCATCGGCATGACCTCCAACTGGTGGCGCGAGGGCATCCTCAGCTACATGAACCCCAAGTGCTTCGACCAATTCACCTTCTACTGCCCCGACCTACTGGGCTTCGGACGGTCGGCCGACCTGCCCACCGACGAAAACTACTCCATCGACGAGCAGGCCAAGTACGATTGATTTAACGAGGGCACATGGCTCTGTGCGTGCAGCCATTTCATTGCCGTGTGTGTGTTGTGTGTGTGTGTGTGTGTGTGTGTGGTTCAGGTATCTGCAGCGCGATATAGTGGAGCGTTATCAGCTGGAGACGTACCACATAGCGGGTCACTCGTTCGGGGCGTTGATAGGTCTGCGGCTGGCGGCCTACGAGCCCGGGAGCGTCAAGAGCTGCATCCTCTTCTCGCCCGCCTTCTTCCCCAACCAAGAGGAGGCCGAGAAACACATTGCCAAACTCGGATTCCCCTGCGACCAGGTGTGTGTGGGGGAGGGGAGGGGGGATGAGCTGCCACCCTTATCCTTGTGTGTGTGTGGATGGTGTCTGTGTTTCAGACGTTGTATGCGCCATCATTGTTTCGTGTGTTCATTCGGACGGTGAACCAGCTGTCGGCCGTGCCGTGGGTGCAGAAGCTCATCTTGCAGGTAAAGTAAGCCGTGTCGGCCACACCCATTAATTAGCACACATAGCGCGCACGTCGGTCGGTCGGAAGGAATTGTATGTGTATCGTATCCTCTGCGGTCGGTCAGGTTGTGCCGACGAGTGAGGTGCCCAAGGAGAGTCTGTTTGACTTCATCAAGACCGAACATGACGCCTTCCTCGGCGTCGTGCAGTCACTAGGTGACTGAGCGGCCAACACCCATCCCCCACCCGCCCCCCGCCCACTTGCACACCCAGTCTGTATGACGCTCTCCGCTGTTCGCTTCTTTGCTCGTCAGTTGATCAGGCAAGGACGATGGAGCCGACCCTGAAGATGCTGAAGCGCAAGCGCGTCAAGGTCGTCAACATGCACGGCACCGCTGACCTCATCGTCCCCTACAGCTTCAGCCAGTAAGAACGAACCAACGAACACACACCTGACGCACAAGGCAACACAAGACAACCACACCACACCACACTCCCCGTGTGCGGCACATGAATGAATAGGTCTGTGGCGGACCGTTTCTCCAACATCGAGCTGCGGGGCTTCCCCGACGGCCCGCATCACTTCCCCATCTCACACCCAAGACTACTCGCCGTCTGGGTCGAACAGGTCAGTCAGTGCCACGGGGGCGGTGCACCACCCTATGGATCAAGCATTCCCCATTTTCATTGCCCCTCCCTCCTCTCTGTGTCTTTGTCCAGGAGTTGTTTCGTTCGGTGTCAGCGCGTCGTTACCGCACGCCCCAACCTGGGCGTCTGATAGCCACTGGCGAGTCGCTGGGTCTGGGGGTGCACTCGCGGCTGGGCATGGAGCAGGGAGACCTGGACTGGGCTTACAAGGGACTCTAGGTCGCTAGATCGCCTAGAGCTTCTCTCTTGCCTGTCGGGGAGGGGAGGAGGTCGGAGGGGCAAGCAAGGGAGAATTTGCTTAGTGTGGGTCTGGCTACGGGGTGGGTGGGTGTGGGTGTGGGTGGGTGGATCTATATATATAAACATCAGTACTCACCATAATCATTCATTCACTCATGCCATCCATATGCATTAACTAATGTGCGTACATCGCTGTCTGTATATCTGTCTGCTAGATAGAAAGATAGATACCATCGACCGACCGACTGATTGCCAATGTTTTCTTTCCTCTCTCATTGACTGATTGATAGCATCCCATGCACCTGTGAGCAGAGCACGAGCAGAGCAGAGCACGAATTGGTCAGTCCGTCCAGTGGCGTGTCTGAGTGTATGAGGCCTGGCCTCATGGTGCGTTTTCGCCTTCATTGCATTGCAGGGGAGCTGAGCTTTTCTTCCCGCCCTCTCTTCCTTGTTCGATGCGCTCGGTGGTTGGCTGGTTGAGTGATCCTACCTACTATGACTGCGCACCAAGCCTGCTAGTTGGAGGATTGAGTGACTGTGGTTGGCCTGCCTTCCCTCGCCTCGTTTGCCCTCACTTTGGATGATGCTGGCGATGTGACGTTGTCACCGCACGGCGATCCTCCAGTAGAAGGAAAGGCTGGGATGTCACAGTGCGCCACGAGGGCGTCACGTTGCCGGCACCACAACACACGAGGGCAGACAGACAGACAGACAGACACGGGACAGGGAGTTTGGGCCCCCCGGTTAGTCCCGCATGCGCATCGCATATTTCTCCTAGTGGCCAGCGAGCGAGCGATCGTCTTTTCCCTCCCCCGCTCGTCTCGTCTGCACCTCTCTCGAGCATTTTTCGTCCGTTCTTCCTGCTCGAATGGATGAAGGCATTTCAGACAGACAGCCACACAGCCAGCCAGATGGCCACTCACCTGCTGGCCGATTGATTGTATATGTCCAGAGTGCGTCGACGAATGAACCGTTTTATACCTCCTGAGTGTCTGTGTGTAGGTGTGTGTAGGCCTGGGGCAGGCGCGCAACGCATACACACACACACACACACACACACATGCAGGAGATCTGTGTGTGTGTGTGTGTGTTGGTTGCGGCGCTTCCCCCTGCCAGGCCACTGTGCTGAGTGAATGCATGGCTGTCACCCCTGTGTATACTATCTAACACAACACTTACCCTTTTACCCATCCCATGTCGATCGCCACATCTCAGAGAAAGTGCAGCGTCGTACTTACGTGACAGCATCAGTCAGTCAGTCAGCGATTGAATGAATCCATCGGGCGATGGGGGGCGTGTGCGTGTGTCTTTGTGGTCGCATCTGTGTGTGTGTGTGTGTGCGGGGGGTGGGACTGTGGGAACGGTGTGGTTTGGTGTGTTGTAGAGTATATCTCTCTGGGTGGATGCTATGCTGGGGGCGTCAGCCTTTCAAAGCTGATGGCAGGGAGGAACGGGCCAAAAAAGGAACGGGGCGATCGACCAGCACACGTCGGTCGCACCCGCCCCGGGGGTGCAGGAGTGCCCGTATACGTCTCAATGAATGTCGGTCTAGCGCTGTTTTCTAATCACTGGGATCACCCACATGCATGTGCGTGTCGGTCAGCCACTTGGGTGCGTCTGTCTGCGTGGCCATCGGTTGCTTTAAATCCCACATGATCTCATCATATTGGTTGGTTGTGTTGGTGTTGGGTGTGGTGGTGTGTGGAGGACCTTTTTCCCTCCACGACGAGCGAGAGGAATAGCAGGCGGGGCGCGCAGGTTGGCGGGGAGGGTGTGGTCATGCTGATGCTCATGCTCATGCACGTGTGTGTGGGTGGGCGGTGGACTGACTGGTGATGTGATTGATTGATTGGACTGTGGATGCAGTGTATCTATCTATCTGCTACTGCTCGAGTGTCACTTTTCAACCACCACACACAGGCAAGTCATTGTAGGGCTCCCGCCCCGAGCACGAAGCTCTCGTCAAAAGGTCAGGATGCAACCACACGCCTCACTCACACACTGCTGGTCTGTCTACCTCCGCCCTTACAAGCTTGACTACCAAAAAGCCCATCCATCCATCCATCCATCTTTACACGTCGCATCGCTGGCTGCCAGTAGGCAGGCACACGCACACACACACACACACCAGAGGGGCGTTGCCCCTCCAGAGGGGCGTTGCCCCTCCAGAGGGGCGTTGCCCCTCTGCCCTTCCACATCCCCCTCCCCTCACCCCTCACCGAAACGCCCGTTCGGCGAGGGAGAGCACTCTCTGTCTCTTGCGGTCAGCCGCCCGCGTCCTCACCCCTGCTGTAGCGCTGTAATAGGCATCGGCCTCATTTCCCTCCACGCCATCCCGCCGCATCCACACGTCTTCAGGCAGATAGCGGCCATGGTCTTCTTGTAAGGCTTTCACGGCGCCGAAGCCACGGATCTCACTCACGGTCACCGGGCGGATCGTGAAGCGACGATGGTGCTGGTGCTGGTGCTTGTCCGACGAAGCAGTGAGGTACAACAGGGCCCTGCTGAGCTTCTGCATGCGCAGTTTGAGGGAGTCTTCCTGGTGGATCGGCGGAACCTTGGACGGGTCGAGGATGAGCCTCACGGTGCTGATGTAGTGGTACCTCTTCCTCCCTCTCCCCCCTCGCTTGTTCCTCCTTAGGATAAGGTCCAAATCGATCAGGTCGTAGCCCACATGCGGCAAAGTGAACCGCCTCATCTCTCCGTCGTCCGAGCTGATGGCCACGACAACGCTGCCCCTCTCGTCCAGCCCGAGCTTTGTCTCTTGGTCGACGTGGTGACGCCATGGCACACCGGTGTCGTGAAATCGGGGCGTGGCGATGCTCTGAGGCAGACCGATTGAGAGGATAGAAGCGGGGGAGGGGGATAATGGGACAGGAGGGGCGGCTTTCTTGCGGTGATGTGCCAGCGGGAAGTCGACGGCGATGACATCGAGAACCCGTTCCAGCGACATATCCGAGTCGAGAAAGATGGCGCCGATAAACGCCTCATAGAGGTCAGACCACCGCTTCTTGGCAGTGAGATCATCCCGATCCACTCTCACGACTTCGGCTAGCGTCCTGTTGGCCCTTTCCAGCCGCCGCTGCATCTTGTCGGCCAGCACGGCGTTGGTCACTTGCTGCTCCGTCTCAGTGAAGTTGAGGTGGGCCAAGCTGTGGCGGGTGTCGCTGGTGTTGTCGCGAGTGAGGTGCACAGACAGAAGGCTCAACACGCCATCACCGAGGAACTCCATTGCCTCATTGTCCATGATTTCCGTCTGCAAACAAGACACAATGCATTTGTGTGCGTATCCGCGCGTGCGTGTCATGCCTGCCCCTTGTCCACCCACCGTGTTGGTCAGATTTCCCTGAGCAATCTCAGACATAGTGGTGGTGGCGATGCGCGCCCTCTCGAGTATCCTCTTGTCAGTGAACTCATACCCCCACATCCTCTCCACCTCCTCGTTAGGCATCTGCCCATCACCGGGATGCTCCCAATCCGATAGGGCCACCGAGCCGTTGGTCAAGAGAGGCAGCAGCCGGGGCAACGACTTGCGCGCTGAGCGACCAGATGGCGCCAGGATCACGTGATCCAGCAGCGTCAGCGACGCCCGCATCGCCTTGTCCAAGTGGAGGTATCCATCTCTTCCGCTCTCCGAGCAAAGGTTGCTCCAGTAGATGGCCCCGAGTAATCTGATTGCCTCCTTCTTGCTGCAGGAAGGCGGGAGGGTGTGGTCGGCTTTCCTTCCCTCCAGCGACGCTGTGACCCGTTCGTGGAATTCCTCCACCGACTCGCCCAGCTCCCCGTTGCTGGGCGACCCGCCGCACCTCATGAAGGTAAATAAGTGCCCCAGGAGCTTGAACACCTTTGAGCCAACAGTGAAGATCGGACGCATCTTCTTCTGAGAGAGCCTGTCGGGAAAGCCGTGCGGGTATACGTTGAGCGCGCAGAGGTACAGGCGGAAGTCGAGATGGACAGGCGTGTCAGACGCCTTGTTGAGGCTGGAAAGCAGCTTGTGGTAGCTGGCGATGGGCGCGTCGATCCTCTTGGCATTTGAACGTGATCTTGAGGACATCTTTGACGCATTTGCTGTCCCGCTGTCAACCCTGCTCTTGCCGGTCCTCTTGCCTGCAGACGGCGGCCGCCGCCTCCTCCTCCTGCTCCGTCTCTTTCGAAGGGCGAAGTTTGGTCGCTTCTTCTTCTGAATGCTCGCTCCCGCCTCCATTGAGAGCACAACGGCGTTGTCTGATAAATCCTCGGCTTCAGCGACCTGCACACAGCGACAAGATGATGTTCAATCGGTCGGATGGGTTCCTCCCTTCCTTGTGCGCACCTGTTCTGTAGCTATAGAGTATACAGCTCTCCGCCGCCGAATCGCCCTGCCCACAGCGGATCGCAGCAGCTTGTTGACGGCATTCTTGATCTTGAAGACGACCTTCCCGCCCGTCTGCTGCTGCTCTGGTAGTACAGAAGGCCGCCTTGTGAGCAGCCTTGAGTAGACAGATCTGGAACGAACACGCCCACTGCCGCAGGGGAGTCTGTGCAGCACGCGCCCGTGTCGGGTGCCTGACAGCCGTCGAGTTGGCGGGTTCGACATGAACGAGGGATGACTTCTGACGAGCTTCCTCTCCAAGCCGAGCACCGAGTATACCATCAGGAGCAAGACGACGACGAACGGAAGAGATAGTTTCATCGCGATTAAGGCAGATCCTGCTCATTCTTCAGCAGCTGACACTGACGCACTGCAGCAGAGAAGGCCTCATCCTCTCTGGCCGCAGCGGTTTGGCTGATCGGAGGGCTGATCGAGGGGGCTGATCTTGCGAGCTTAGACGAGGAAAGGGAAAAGGGGGGGCGCAAGACGGGGTGGCTGCCGCGCAAGCACAAACCAAGAAGAGCAAAGAGTTCCATCCTCAGCCGGCCCCAACGCAAAATCTCGTCGTCAGGGGATTCTCAAGGTGAGCCCGGTGAGGGATGGCAATTCGGTGACACGCAGTGTAGTCGTGCTAACAAAGTGACCGACGCGGTGGGCGTCGATGTCGTACAGATGAAGCGCGGGAGTGGCTGCCTCCAACTCGGCTTTCTTTTCCCCAACTCCACACGAAAGCCGCAGTCCACGGGTGACGCCACCGGCCAACATGACGAAATGTGTGGCAACGATGCTTCTGCGGCCAGTGATGAAGCGATAGCTGCCGTCTTCAAGGTAAACCATGAGCAATTGCCCATGGGAAAACGCGCACACGTCGGTCATCGTTTCCTCAACTTTGTGTGCCTCTCCCCACTTGTGTTTGCCTCTCTCTCCCGGTTGACAAATGAATTGCTGAACACGCGTGCAGGCCATTCGGCTGCAGGGATGGTCCGGCCTTCCTCTGGTAAGAGCATTCGCCGACAAACAAAGGGCCCAGGACCAGACCTGTTCCCTTCCGTCCCTGTGTGCAGCCTCGAGAGCTTCACGTTGGCGTCTACGCGTTTGTCAATCCCGTGTGGTGTCTCAAGCCGCCCCTGCCATCCCCACTAAGCGGTGCAGTCCTGCAGCACCACACCGAGCTCGTCATCGACTGCAGCAACACACGGCAGAGGACATTCTGGGAGACGATGACGCCCCAGACGGCATACGAGCTCGGCAAACAGATGATCAACCTTAGATGTCTCATACGCCGCTATCCACGAACACCTGAAGGGGCACCAGGGGTGAGGTCTGGCTACTATGTCGGTGCATATGGATGGTGCCACGGCATCTTCGTCGCACTGGTGGAGGGTCATGTGGCGGGACGGCGGTTGGCGAGAGAGAAGGAATGGCCGACGACCACATCGGTCGAGGGCTCTCTACAGTCTTTTGTCTTCGAAGCAGTGGTACTTTCGAATTCGGGACGGCCAGAGATGACTCAGCTGAACAACATCAACATTACACCTCCTACTGCCACCCCTTCCCAAGCTATCAGCCTCCCCGCCCTCACTCATGTCAAAGGCATTCACTTAGGTCTCTCGGCGATTGATGGACGGGGATGGGCCATGCCAGCTCTGCAGCGCGTGTTCTCAGTATCCACCGACATGGCGCATATCAGGGCGTTCATCGCCACAACACAGTCCCTAGTCCAGCTAGAAATGCCTCAGAATATGGAAATGATGCCCTTGCAGCTGGCTGAGTTGCTGCAGTCCATCCCAGCGGGCCAGCAGGGGAGTCCAGGGCCTCTCGCGAACCTTCGAGTGATTCTCCGCATCAAAGTCTACGAGATCGAATCCACCGATATGATCAGAGACGGTTTCAGGGACCTGCAGGTGGCACAGAAAGGAAAGAACGGCACGGAAAGGGGCTCGGGAAAGGGGTCATCGCACAAATACGCTCTTTCCTCGAATGTGCTTTGGCTGTAGAAGTGTTTGGTGGATCGTGGCTGCTCGAAGTGCATCACTTACCTAGACCTAAGCATGCGGCGCAGCGACTGCCATTCGCTGATCCTCAACGATTCTGCGACATTCAAGGCGCTGGCCACATTCATCAATACGACGTGCGCGGCATCGGGCAAGGTCTGTTGCCGTTTTCTGCGCTGTGCTGACGAGGTGCGAGACATTCCACTAAACAATCTAGTTTCCTACACCCGGTTCGACAAAGTCCCCGGCTGCGGTCCGCAGCTGCTCAGCATCTTGCAGAAACTCTAAAATGTGGAAATTGAGCCACAGCCGGAGGACCCTGATTGTCCTTCTGTCACAAGTATTGATCAAGGCGGTGTCCGGCCCGGATACCGCTACGTCTGGACCGTCACGCAGAACCAAGTGGCGCGACCATCCAACGGGCCTATCGACAAGAACTTGGTGAACACGCTGTCGCTTGGAGGGTGCGCTCCGAAAAGTGGATTCAGCATGTCCATCGAGTGCGAGGAGGGCTGGACCCCGCCAACTGACGCCCTCCCACCAGAGCCTCCCGAGTTCAAAGCCCTAAGAGCTGACTTACTCGTGCGAGTGAAAAGTTTGACCGTCAAGAGCCGCATCGGCATGGGGGTGGCAAAGATGCTTTTGCGAAGTGGTGCACAACTCGAGAATTTGCGGGTGATGGACATGTTTTCATCGGACGTATTGAGCCTCCTGGCGTGCGTCTGTGTGTGGAGGATGCCCGAAAGGCTCACTGTCGAGCAGTTGCGTCAAGAGGAGGAAGGGTGCGAGATCAGTATTCCACTGCGTATTCGACAGAGTCTCCAGAAGGTGAAGACGCTCCTCGTCAAGGGAGACGCTGTTGCACTTTTTGCGGCAGCCACACGTCCCCACATGTCAGCCATCCGTGACTTCAGCATCTGCGGCAGCGAAGGAGGGGCGCGCCAGGCTCTCGTCAATGGAGGTGGTGGGACGATCGACCAGCTGCATCTGGGCTATGTGTCTGAGACTCGCCGTGAGTTCATCAAGGCCGAGGACGAGAGAGAGGGCATCACACTGGGCGATCACAAGGACCAAATGCCCCACATCAAGAAGCTGGTCATGAAACTAGACGGTAAGTAGCGAAAGAATGAAGAAAATGTCCACTCGCTGATCAGGTTACGGCTCCGTGTCTCCGTGTCTCCCTGCCTCAGTGCCATCGGCCTATGTTGTCGATCCCGGTGCCTTCATTCTGTCGAGCATCTGGTCGGTCCTCGAGATTGAGTCGGTCTCCACGCTGACGGTGGTCCTGCTTTATCGATCCCATCTGGATGCTCTCAACAAAGCAATTGAGAGACGCTTCAGAGGCCGCACCGAGATAGAGGGGAATGTGCATTCAGTGGACGGAGTACTGCATCTCTTCATGACGAGCGAACACATCGCAGCAGTAAGGGAAAGGCCGCAATGATGTTTGTCGTGGTGCTCATTTAGAAAGTACTATCTATCTGCATTCCTTCATTGTGTCTCTGCTGATCAGTTGCGCATGGCGGTCTTTGTCCACTCGTCGGCCGCTAACCTGCTCGAGGTACTTCTGCCAGCAGGAGCCCCCCACCGGAGGCTTGCAATAATCGCCGATCTTGCGGTTACCGTGAAGCGCCTCTCGTCAATGCTCAAACAGTATCTTCCCTCACACGATGCCAACATCGCAGCCGATGCGCTCGCCATCGACTTCGCCGGCCGCCTGCGTGCTGCTGCGCCCATGACTGTGGTCGACCCCCCGTATGCGCCCCGACGGCTGAAGGCACCACTCATGGCGGCGATGGAGAGACACGGCCTGGCGATGGAGCCCATGATGCGGCTGCATGGCGATGGGCAGTGCATCCCCAGCCCCTCTGTGATCGCCTCCGCCAGTCAGCTGATGGCCGTACTGCAGAAGACGGGCACACAGATGACAGGCATTGAGCTGCTCTACAAGTAAGAGAGCCAAAATACACCATCGATTACCTCAGCCCATGATGCTCTTCTCTTGTTCTCCTCTCCTTGGCGTGCTTCATTGACTACAGGGCCACTGTGCACGGGTTTGCGTACACTGACATGCTCAATCGTGTGGGCGATGCGAGCTGCCTGCTCTTCCTCGTGCGGGCCGATGGAGACATCCACGGCTTCTTCGTCGACGCCAGCGTCCTGCCGCCCCCTCAGCTACCAAGTGCGCGCGCCTCCAACGACTATGAGGTGGCTGGCCTCAATTTCAAGATAGCTGGCTTCTCCCTGCCCACCTTCCAGTCACCCTCAACGACGCCGCAGTGTGTCTCTGTGCTGCGAAGGGACATTGAGCCCAATGGCGTGGACCAAATCGCAAAGCTGATCGTGGGCTCGTCGGTGTCTGTCCTATCGCAAGGACAGACACAGACATTGGCGACTAGACTTTCGCAAGGGGCGACGGGGCTAAGACTGTGGGCAGTCGACCCGGAAGCGGCAGCGGCAGCGGCAGGGCAATGCCGGGTGGACGTCATATGGTCCTCTGATACCTCAACTTCGTTGGACTTCATGGTTGCCGATGAAGTAGAGGTGCTGCGATTTTCACTTCCGGGGGCCGTAGGCGGGGCGGCCGGGTGATTTGGCGTGGGATGGATCGTTCATCTGCAAGGAGACCATGGCCTGCTGCATGGCTACTTTTTCGAACCTGCTGCTTTTTGGGGCTTACGCGTTAGTGTCGTAGTTGGCCTCTCAACAAATGGATACAATATTCCTCGGAGACATTCATGTGCACGCACGTGAGCACTGAAACGTTTGAAGGCCATGTAACGGTCTGTCCCGTCTAGATCGGTCTCTTCCAACAAATCCGGAAGCGACCAACGCATAATTACCGCCCCTTTCCCTCATCCATCCCGACCTTCTCTCCATCCCGCCCCCCCTCACCCCTCACCCAACTCACTCACTGCATGAGTCTGAACACCTCTATCTCGTCAGCAACGAGCTTGTGCGTCTCATATCCCATCACCACTGTTTGCTACCATCCCACACGCACCCAGCACCGCCCATCAGCCGCACTCTGCACCCATTCCAGAGGAGCAGGCGCCCACAGCCCCAGCCACTCACGGCCGACCAAGGGGCCCAGCCTCACCTTAGCTCGGACTCCACACGGCTGGTTGTGTGCTCGCGAGACCGAGACGCACTGGAGCGTCACTGAGGCGACTGGAAGGTCGGCGGAGCGGCTGTGGATGCCTTGAAGATGAGACAGGCCGCCTCATAATGATTTAAGGCCCGCGGGCCGTTGGGGGTCTCCATGTGCAGTGCTGTGGCCGGCTGCAGGCTGGTGTCGATGAAAAAGCCGTGCATGTCTCCATTTGCGCGAGCAAGGAACAGCAGGGGGCTCGCACGGCCCACACGGCTAAGCATGTCGGTGTATGCAAAGCCGTGCTCAGTCGCTCTGCAACCACATAAGGAGACATCGAGACAACTCAGTCTATACTGTTTTCTTCGCATTCATTTTCTCTTACTTGTAGAGCAGTTCGATGGCTGTGATTTGTTTGTCCGTCTTCTGCAGTACGGCCATCAGCTGAGCGGCGGATGCGATCACAGAGGGACTGGGGATGCACGACCCATCGCCATGCTCGTCATGCAGCCGCATCATGGGCTCCATCGCCAGGCCGTGTCTCTCCATCGCCGCCATGAGTGGCGCCTTCAGCCGCCGAGGCGCATACGGGGGGTCGACCACAGTCATGGGCGCAGCAGCACGCACGCGGCCGGCGAAGTCACTGGCGAGTGCCTCGGCTGAGACATCGGGGGGGAGGGAGGGCAGGCAATGCGACAGCCGCTTCACGGTGTCCGCCAGATTGGTGATCATCGCGAGCCTCTGATGCGGGCGTTCTATGCGCATCAGTGCCTCGAGCCGGTCGGCCGTCGACGAGTGGGCAAACGCCGCTCTGCGCATCTAATGGACAGATTGGAAAGCGACACAGGCGGTGCATTCGCCGTGTAATTCTAAGCTCATTTCTCTCCCCGGCCTTACAGTTGCGATGTCATTGGCTGTGAGGTAAAGACCCAGGTACCCATACTCTCGATGGACCTGCCCGTGCACCATCCGCCCAGGCCCAAATCGCCGGACAATTGCTGCCTTGAGCTCATCCACATGGGAGTGCTGGGGCAGGACGACTTTCAGCCGTGAGATGGACTCGATCTCGAGGACCGACCAGACGCTCGACAGAATGAAGGCGCCCGGGTCGGCAACATCAGCAGAAGGCACTGAAAACCATGAGACATCATACAAAGATACAGCGAGTGAATGTATCCCCATCTCTTCGCCACTTACCGTCTAGGTACATGACAAGGCTGTCGATGTGGGGCAGTTGGTCCCTGTGATCGCCGAGCGTGATGCCCTCCCTCTCGTCGGCAGCCCTGATGAACTCGTGGCGGCCCTCATGCACGAATCCCAAAGACAGCTGGGCGACGGCCCCTACGCCCCCTACCACGAGCACCTGGAGCGCGTCTATCTCGCTGCCGGCCACGGCGAGCACATCCAGCGATGGGACGTGGCGCCTCAGGGCGGCCGCAAGCTGCAGGGCGACGCCACCCCCGGCCGTCAGTCCCCTGAGCTGCTGGAATCGCACGTCAAAGGGCACGACACCCAGCGGCCGATCACCCTCTGCCCACAAAGAGTGGAGCAGGAGCTGCTTCGGCACCCTGAGTGAGAGCAGGTCTGGCACGTCCGTCGGCGCCATGTCGGTCAGCTGCAGCTCGGTGAGATGCGGGCCCTTGCTCAGGATCGCCTTGGCCAACCCCAGCCCGATGCGATGGTTGACGATCAGAGTCTTCACCCGCTCCACTCTTGTCCTGTTGAGGGCTTTGAGCTCGGGAGGCTCAGGTGGCACGGCATCAGCGGCAGGGGCGAAACCCTCCGCACACTCTATGGATATGCTGCAGCCCTCATCCCGGTACCAACCGGACTCGAAGACGAGCTCATTCATCCTCTCCCTGCCGATGTCGCTGGTTGCTCCATCCAGCTGGTCTTGCGTGACCCTCCAGACGTAGTGGCATGCGCCTCTCAGTCCTGGGCCACTGGTCCCGAATTTTGGGCAGTCGATGTGGCTGTGTGAGCTGTCGAGGCGCACGTTGTACGCAGTCAAGAGCGCATTGACGAGTGGGAGGCTGCACGTGGGCAGCTTGGTGAAGTCGAACCGGGTGTAGGCCAGCAGGAGGGAGAGGGAGATGTCTCGCCACACGCCGGCAGGGGAGATGATGCAGCAGTCGACCTTGGCTGATGGCGAGCAGGTCGTGTCGATGAGCGAGGCGAGGGCCTTGAATGTCGCGAAGTTGCTGAGTAGCAGGCCAAGGCAGTCGCTGCGATGCACCTCTATGCGCAGGGAGTCGAACGCCTTCGAACAGCCTCTATGCACCAAACACTTCTGAAACCAGAGAACCAGAGCACAATCGAGACGAGAACATGTCAATGCCTTTCTCGCCTGCTTTCTGTGCCCAATCTTCCGATCTTGCCTGTAAATCCTGGAGGCCGTCTCTACAGGCATCGGTCGACTCGATGCCGTACAGCTTGATGGCAGGAATCACTCGAAGCTTCGCAAAGGGCCCTGGACTCCCTCGCTGCCCCACAGGGACGGACTCCAGCAGCTCAGCCAGATGAAAGGGCATCATCGCAGCGCCGCCCTCAGCTTGGCGAGGGATCTCGTCGTGGCGACAAACGGACGGATGTCCGCGATCTCGGTCACCGTATTTGGTACAGAGACACGCTCGACAGCTGGCGTTGCCCATCCCCGCCCATCGATGACAGAGTGGCCACAAGTGACGCCGTTGACATCAGTGAGGACTGGGAGGTTGATGGCATGGGATGGGGCGGCAGCAGAAGGGGCAGAGTTGATGGCGCCCAACTGGTCCATCTCGTGTCGTCCGCTGCGCCGAAGCACCACGGACTCGAAGGTCAATGACTTGAGCTATCCGTCGGCCATCGTGGTCCCCGGCCCCTCCTTCTCTCTCGCCGCCCGTCGTCCCGCCGTATGACCCTCCACTAGCCCGATCACGGTCCCACGGCACCATCGAGACGCAATATAGAAGTTACCAGCTGCCCCGGCAGGTGTCCGTGGATAGCGATGGATGAGACACTTGAGGTTGATCATCTGTTTGCCGAGTTCATATGCCGTCTGCAGGGTCATTTGCTGCCAGAATGTTCTCTGCCGTGTGTCGCTGCAGTCAATGACGAGCTCGGTGTAGTGCTGCAGGACGGCACCGCTGAGTGGGGAGGGCAGGGGCGGCTTGAGACACCACACGGGATTGACAAACGCAAAGACGCCGACGTGAAGCTCTCGAGGCTGCACACACACAGATGGCAAACAAGGGACGCAACGCCCTCCGTCGTCGAGTCAGTCATGCCTTTGTCTGTCGATGGATGCTTACCATGGCAATCCCGGACCATCCCTGCATCCGAATGGCCTGCAGGAATCCAATGGATAAGAAAGTGAGGAAACAACGCTTGAGGCATCTGTGCAGTTTGCATGTGTTTTCATGGATGATGCTCGTCATACCTCAAAGACAGCGGCGGTTCCTCTACATGTATTGTCAGTCGGGCTGCCAGCGGCATCGTTGCCGCCAACGACAGGCGAAGGCGCGTCACCATCACTACTTGGTCCACCAGCGATATCGATATC